TAACCCCACAATTGAGTTCTCAGTAGTGCAAGAGTGTTAGAGCAAGCACTTGAATCTTCCATGGTCTCCTACACTCACTCCTTAAACAGGCCTTTGGTCGTCAGAGTTGCACAAACTGTTTGACATCAGAGCCAAACAGTGAACTTTGCCGCAAAGCTTAGCCTACGGTGCGACTCTCAAACACCACCTGGGCTACAGTACAGTCATGACGTTGCTCAAGAACTCACAGCGATAAGAGCGCCAAGAGTGTTGGATGACTCAGTATTGGTCGTCAGAATCTGAAGGGAACGAGAATGCCTTCAGCGGTCGCGCCGCCCAGCTGGATCCTACAAGTTCATACCGAAGGAGCTTGGCATAGTTGACAAACCTCTTGGCTAGCTTCTTGCTCTTAGCAGTAAGGCCAGGAGCCCCTGGTAGCGTTCTTGCTCCTAGTAGCGATGCCAGGAGCCCCTAGTAGCTTCTTGCTCCTAGAAGCTCGTGGGTAAGAACAAGAATATAGATGGCAACAATAACATCAAGAGGGCATGAGTTTGCATCGAACAAAACCCACTCTAAGAACTCCAGGACCCTAAGTGATTGGTCCCCTTACTTGGTGCCAATGGAGCTCAACTCCAGATTCAATGTTGAAAAGATAGTGGCAGGTACTTCGCTCAAAAAGCCGGGAATATGGGGTCTCCATTCCTACCCTCACAAAAATCTCTGCACAAAGTGTACTGCATAAAAATGTGTTGACCAAAAAAACATCCAAAACGTCTAAGCTCCTGATGAATCCAAGCCTTGAAGGTCTAACTCTCGCAACAAAGATTCACCATGGTTCACCTGCCACGGCATAATTGCACCTGCCCCTCTCTCCCCTTGTCTCAAGTTCCTGCCCCTCTTTCCTGCTTCTGAGGCACCACATCATCATCATGTGGGATGAAGCCGCCGTGGCGCAGAGCACCCAACAATGTGCCGCCTCTGCTAGCGCATTCACAAACGGAGACCTCTGAAAGGCCAGTTTTCCAGTGAAACCAAAGACTGTCAAGAGCAAACCTGCTGAATCCAACATCATGATGCCACAACAATGAAATGCTCGAAAGGACATAGGGACAAGAAGTCTGAACTCCAAAAAACCGGCACCTGTAAGCCAGCAAGGCACCCCTGCAGCTTCCAGTCTCGCCAAGGTCACCTACAAAGTGGAGCGGTTGCCTTCACTTTCGAGGTTGGGATGCATGATGCTGGAACATGGCCAGGAGAATATGCAAACCTCCTATCTAACGACAAAGCCAACCTTTGCAGAGTTTGCCCAGCTGCTATCGTGTTGCCTATGTTTCGGCTCCGGCATGACCAGCTTAGCAGTGGCTTGGCAACTTAGCTGTCGGAAGATGTGGTTTGCAGTTTCACCCCAATGAGCTCAGGCACAAACAGGATAGAAAGACGTGATAAGTGTGGAACCAAAGCCAGCACCTTTTTTGGTGGGGCAAGCCGGTGGCGAGGCCGCTGTGTGCAGGAACTGAGGTGCAGGAGTGGAGAGGAAGGAAAAGATATGAATGGAAGCATGGAGGAAAGAGGACCAAAAGACCCAAGCCGCTCATGGGAACGATTGTGCCGTGGGCGCTTGCGACACAGCACTGAAAGAAGTTCTAGAGGGGCAGCAGCTGCCGGCAAAGGGGCATCGCTACTAGGAGCAAAGGATGCTACTAGGGGCTCGAAAGGTGTGAAAGTGGTGGGCCGTCAAGATGGTCGTCATTGGGCGCTCCAACGCGCGAAGTGAACTTGGAATTTCCTCGCAGAAGCTCGCAGGTCGAGCCGCTCGTTGACCGCCCCGCGGTCAATTACTAGTAGCTTCTTGTTACTACTAGTAAGGCACTTGTTACTAGAAGCGATGCACTTGTTTCTAATAGCTTATTGTTTCTAATAGCTTCTTGTTACTACTAGTAAGGCACCTGTTCCTAGTAGCGTGGCACTTGTTCCTAGAAGCCGAACGAGAGGACCCGCTTCAGATTGAGGGAACGACCCGCGGACCGAACGGCGGGTGGAGCGGACTTTTGGGCGATCGAGGCTGACGTGGGGAGGCGGCAGTTCGGTGCCGTTGCTGCAGTTCGGAGCGCCAAAGAGGCAGAAGACCGTTTTACTGGAAAGGATTGCAAAAAAACCCAAGGAAACAGAGTTGCTTGACTGCTTGACTGCTTTTGAAAGGTGCCGACGGGGTTTTCTCGACGTCACTGTTTCAATGGTATTATTTGTATGTATCTGTAGGGGTTTGAAGACATTGTTCATAGGTTGCGTTTTCATGTTACTTCTGGCTTGTGGGGGATATGATTTCATGGTCCGTGGAAGGTGCTTCATACATGTTCACGCCAATGATGTCACTATGGTTGGTGGGGGTGGGGGTGGATTGGGGATGATGCGGGGTATGTTCGTCTCGTAATCGACTGCCCGCGCCAGAGATGGCGGCTCCTCAACGAGCCGCGACTGTGGCTGAGCCAGCTCCTGGCCGAGCCAGGCCGAGCCGTGTCTTGGAAGGTTTTTGCTTTGTACAGAAACCATGTGAAGAAATGCTCTTGGTATCTTCCCACATAACTGGGCAGATATCGATAAGGCTGAGGTAAAACAACGTTGAAACTGCACAGCCACTGGGAGGAGAGGCGCGTGTACGCGCGTGTACGGCCAAGAAATGGGCCGTTGTTTTGCCAGATTCCTGTCCTTGGTTTCCGAGAACTGGAACCCTCGACAGCCTTTGCAACACGATTGGCACTTAAGGTTGTGGTTTGGGCGCCAGCGAAAGTTGTGTTCTTTGACGATGGCCATGCAGAAATTGCAGGTTGTACCTATAGCAACAATGACGAAATCACTTGGATCAGTAGGGCCCTGGGTGCACGAGAGCTGCCTTTGGCGCGGCCCGTCATGCGTGGTGACACTGGAAGAGGTCGGGGGTTTGGCATGTCGTTGCCATCGCACCTCCGCAAAGTGAACAGGTCGATGACACCATGTTTGGTGTTGGCCGGCAAATTGACCATGCGCTGGTTGAAGGAGGTGCTTGAGCAAAGCCTTTCCGCCAGCCTTGCCTAACATGATGAAGAATTTGCAGAAGCTCGAAACAGAGGCCAGTCGGGTGTGGTTCAAGAACGAAAGCCATGTAGAGGGTACTGTGTTTCAACCAACCAGTCCATATCTTCAGCAGAGCTGCCACGTTATTTCGGGACCACGTGTCCCCCAGACACCCTGAATCTCACTTCGTTCGCAAGTAGTCAACTGTCACTCAGCCAGACGGCTGGCTTACCTCTTTCCAGGGTCAGACCGCTCGGATGCTACTTTCCAGATTGGGTCTATAGTCTTAACAACGACAGTATCTCAAGGCAACCAAGACAGGTGAAATGGTATGGCCGGTGTTAGAATCCAACCCGTCAAGTAGTCAAGGTACAACAAAGAGCATGAAGTACTTGAAAAGCCAAACACCACAACTAAGCAACAACTAAACAAAAATGAACGAACTGATTCCAATCGCTGCCCAGGTGCACATATGTGACAAATGACATGCCTTCAAGCAAAAGGCTTTGGTTTGTCCACAAAGACATTCCTTCCGGAATGACCCCACTTTCCAACACCAGTGGCAGCGCCTGCAATAGAAGCAACCTAAGGTGCAATCAAATGCTTTTGCTGCAACAGGACATAGTGTCAACTGCACCCAAAAGAACCCCTGAGGCACAGGTTATTGGAGAGCAATGCAGCAAGGCCGGAGAAGTGTCCAATGGAGATGTTGAGCTGACCATAATTTGATTTGGCTCACAGCGGGGGGTCGTAGAAATGAAGAAACGGAGCGTTGCAAGGGAGCATAGGAAACAAACCCAAGGACTGTTGACAAAGGGGCAAACATGGGAAACCAACAAGGTTGGAATCAAAGCCTCTGAAGAAAATAGAATACAGTTGGGGACAGTGCACCTCAAAGGATGTCAAATTGCTTGACCTGAGCAGTCTCCAGTGATGATTCATCATTCTGGATCTTGAGGTTGCTTTCAGAGATAAATGTAGTACAAACGTCTGCAGTGGCTGCATCAACCGCCGCATCCTCAATCCACGTCTGGCCCATGACTACGTCTGAGGGCTTGGCAGGGCCGTCTGCTGTTGGTGCAAATCTGGGACATCGAAAGCCAAACAAAGGGCATCGATGTTAAACGTCCTTGTTCCTAGTAGTACGGCCAGGAGCCCCTAGTAGCGTCCTGGCTCCTAGTAGCGATGCCAGGAGCCGCTAGTAGCGTCCTTGCTCCTAGTGGTAATGCCAGGAGTTACTACTAGCTTCTTGCTCCGACTCCTTGCGATGCCCTTTGTTACTAGTAGCGTCCAAACACCAGAGTTTGCAGAATCATGCAGAATCAACACGAAAGTCATGCGCAATGATGCTGACTACACGCAGAAAGGAAGCACTGTATCAAAATCGAAGCAAAAGGGAAGCAATCTAAACCTTCCCATCAACAAACGGTAGACACCTTTGTATTGGCAGGAGGTTCAATCAAATCAGGCTATCGTCAGAATGTAGATGAATTGTCAAAATCAAAAAGGACATCGCTTGAGTCGCTTGACATCCAAGCTTGGCACGTTTCGGGTTCAACCATGGGACCTCACGCATTCTGTGATGCTGGTTTGAGATCTGCCAGGAATCGTCAGCGCTCTCGGCTTCGTACGTTCGCATGCACGGCAGCCATATGCGACTAACGACAAGTCCAAGGCTGGCATCAAAGAGTTCTTGAAGGCTTTCTTAACAAACATTCAATAAACGATTCGAGAATAACTCCCCAGCCCAAACCTCGCTCATCCATATCACAGGTTGGCCATGGTGGCTCTCATGCCGGCTGTTCTGTCAAAGCTGGTTGGGAGTTGAGTATGCATGTTAATCCCAAAAATCGATTGGAAACTGAGGCAACTCTGATGCAAAGCTCAACACACCCGCAAACTTGAAGTGCTGCCAATTCCATTGTGCGTACCAATGCAGGTGCGGTTTGTTTGGGCACTAGTTAATCTGCTGCACTTCATTCAACATATAGTCTTGTACATATATATGATATATAATATATGTAATATATGTTGTATGTGTATGTATAGATATAGATAGATATAGTGGCCTAAAATAAAGCGTGTGAATGTGGACAAGTTTGGCTCACCTCACAAACTGGTCTCGAATCTACTTATATATATAATATGGGCACTCGAAACTACAAGTGTTCAGGCCGTGCTTCAGTGAAAGACATCGATCCAAAGCAAATACACATCAGGCCATCAGGCATTGTCATGCCAAGAACAGTGGAACAAGTGAGTCCTCTAATGGTACTGCGGAGGCCTTCTGGTGTATCTTTGTGTTCCTAGTTCCTGCACAACAATCAAAGTCTGTCAAAACAGAGTCAACCCTCCAGCAACAGCTCTGCATATCCTTTTTCTCCACTCAGGATAAACGGATAAACCCAACACGTGCCAATCTCACTGTTGCCTCACAGCCAGCCGAATGGTTTGATCAAGAGTGTCAAGGAACTGTCCACTTCTTTGGTAGTACCGGAAACAGGAAACATGAGCACAAACCGTTGCACTTATGTAGAGACCAGAATGCGTTGTTCATTCAAGTACACTGGCGTGCTATTATATAATCAATCGCCATCCAACGACAGCAAACGAACACCAATGATTGGTTGAGCAGACTCCTCATGTTGAGGTAAGCTAAACCGTCCTACTTCTATGTCGTGATCCATAAAGTCACCACGCTGAATATCTGCATGCTGTCATCCGACATGAACGAGAACAACATTCGTTTTTCGTCTGGACCAACCAAACCGATGCGACAATCCCTGCTTGAAACAAAACGATCGTGCTACACAAGTCATTATAGAATGAACAGTAGTCATTATAGAATGAACACTATATACTGTAGACTATATTATAGCACTATATTCTATCGCACGGCGACGTTTCTGGGCACCCCGGGCAGATTCTTCAAGCCTTGACTGAAGAAGAGCTTGTGCCCCAGGGTCTGGATGCCCAAGGTCTGGCAGAACGAACACCGAGCGCCAACGGCAAGGCTGATCTCGTCTCTGGAAGGTTCCGAGCTTTTGCAGATCAGCAAACCAGAAACCTGTCCAATGAGATTCCCATGACCAATCTGTCCAGTCCGTCAGGCTTGATCGAACCAGCCTCCCATAGGCTGGGTTCCACGACTTTCAGGCCCTTCGCAGTGGGGTCCACGATTGCCGCAGACAACTGCCAAGTGCAAAGCGTCGTCGGGAGAATTCAAACCGTGGGAGACTCTGATTTGATCAAATATGTATATATATATATATTATATATTATGCTTTATTTATATAGATTATATATATATACATCAGCATACTGTCAACATCCCACGTCAGCCTTCGCACAATATGTTTACTACATATTCTACAAGTTCCTGCTCACTGGCAGACTGGCACAAAGAAGATCTTGAACATTTAGGCTCTCATTTGTAAATATTTGGACCAAGGTCGCCTCTGAGATACTGCTGAACTCACGGTGCAGTGCTTCTGAGTACCTGAAGAGAAAAGGAAGTTTCACGTCAATCCACTAATAATTCCTCCCTATATTAAGCTGTTGTTCTGCTTTCAAACTCCACAGGGCTAGACAATTTATTGATGGGGACATATTATGCAGGAACAACCATGATAGTCAAAATTAGCACAGTCTGGACGGTCTTCAGGGCATTAGGCATCTATGTTTGAAAATCTGGCCGCCGGAACATCAGCATGATTGCAAGTTACTAGCTGCCTGTGTCGAAACACATCCACCGTCCTTTCAACTAACAACCAACCAAATTTAAGTTCCATATTCGCACCACACAAAAGGTTTGGGGATGTGGGTCCCCGGCGGTTAAAGAAGCATTCTATTAAGCCATTGACCGCTGACAACGAAACATAATTTCCCCTTCTTGACCACAGGTGAGCTATCTTCACTTCGAATAACACATGAAGAGGACCGCCCACCAAAATCCAAGCTGGCCTTTGTAGGAGGCCCTGTGCTTTCAGTGATTCGTGTGACATGTTTTTCGGTTGAACGCTTCATGACGCTGGTTTTATCACCTTATTTTATATGTCACATCCGCTTTTGCATGCCCAGAATGTGTTGCAAAAATAAATAAGCAAGTTGCTTTCGAGTTTGCCAAAGCTTCGTAGCGGCCGTAGCGTGTGCGAAATGGGGTTGGCTGCGTTACGTTCAAAACGTTTGATGTATATTGCTACTAGTAGCTTCTTGCTCCTAGTAGCGCGATGCCCTTTGTTACTAGTAGCTTCTTGTTCCTAGTAATGCAAGGAGCTACTAGTAGCTATGGATCAAGGCTCTGATCCAAGCCCTGATCAAACAGTTGGCTCACCTGACCCAGCCTACACTTGACACGTTGAGAGAGTAAAGGGTGTGCGTGGGTTATGACTTCAAACGGTACATGTAGCGCGAATTCATACGCATGCCTGGCACACCTGCCTTGTCTACATCGCAGGCATTGTCAATGATCAACTGCGATTGCGCATCTGGAGCCACTTCCAGTGTAGTGGCTTCCACTGAGCAGTTTGTTGGTTCATGAATTGATGTTCAGATTAGTGGCTTCCACTACAGTAAACAAAGCGCATGGCTCAGCTCACGAACCTGACAAATGCTGGGGGTCCAAACAGAAAATAGCGGAAGTCACTAAACTTGTTCTGGCAACCTATGCTGCTTATGCACATCTGCTACTGCTGGCCATGTACCATGTCTTTGCAAATTGGTGGCGTCCACTAAATTTATTGTCTATTCTTTTGCCATCCCCATTTTTCCCACAAAATCGTTTGAGCAGCCTAAATAGTGAGGCGCTCCCCCCTTCCCCTCATCGTAGTCAATTCAATTGACCGGTTTCCGCTCATTCTTGCTTGATGGCGGGGCAGCGTACAACCAGAAATCTGCGTCGATTGACTGGCCTCCGCCAACTGCTTCACACCAAAGAAACTTGCCAACTGGCTCACTACCGGCTTCCGCTAAACCCTGGTCTCGAAAGACGGTATCGCTGTGTCTCGGAGGCACGCTGGTCTCGAAAGGCCCAGTCTCACTGTGTTGCTGAGTCCTTTCGATTCCTGTCGTATGTTTTATCGAAAGGACGGTCCAAGAACGGTGCCTTAGGACGTCGCCAATCGAAGGTCGCGCGTAACGCGCCCACGCCCCGAGCACACCATGGGACTCATGGATCTGGGTGTGGATCGCGCGTGATCCTGGCGCCTGCGCCTTATGCTTCTGGCCCCAGCCATCTGTCAAGCACAGGTCAAGCACAGGCCAGCTATCCAACTTCACCACACGCTGACCTTCTGGTGTGCAAAGCAAGTCATGGCCTTTCTTTCGGTGCTGAGAATCTTCGGTACAGTGGTTGCTTTGATTGGCAAAGATTTGACACTGTATTTCACGGCCGCTGTTTTCTGATCTGTTTCTTCAGCTGTTGGGTATGCGCCTGCAGATCGATCTCTGGTGGTCTTCACGGGTCTTCATGGGCGTACATCCATGCCCGATTCTAAAACTAAGCAGATTGAGCAGACGTGCGGACAAAGGGGTCCCGTCCACTGCGACCGTGTCGGCGACCGTGCTCCATCTTGTCTACCTGAGCGCCAGGGACACCGAGAAAAGCCGGGTACTTTACACCAGTCATTGCCAACCACTGGTGTAACCCGAAGCTGTCCCTCGTGCTCTAGTAAAGTAGAACCATAGACTTGGTCCTCTGTTGACAAACCCACCTACAGTAGGTCTGGCAGCCGTTCACAAAAGAGGATTGAGGATGCAATCCAGCGTGACAGAATCTGTGACTGAGTTCGTTGGCTTTGAATGAGTTGCGACGCAAGCTCGCAAAATCTGCCATCCATCAAGTCGAATGCAACTGCCGCATTCTCCCCACACACCCGAAGCAAGTTCTTACACGAAGCAACATCACCTTCGTACAAGTTTCGCAAAGCAAAATAATGTTGCTTGCAATCACAATGAGCATCAGCACTTTGCCCAACCACTCCCAACCCCACACCCGGATCCAGGCTTGCACAAAGCAGGTTCCTACAAAATTCAACGGTTAGTTGCATAGCTCCAAAAACGTCTAATAACCACATAAATCCCATGGCCGCTTGTTGGCACCAACGACATAAACAAGGAAAAGTATGTTTGCATGTCCGTACCCCTGCGCCCCAGGTGAGTACAAGTTACGTTTGGAAGCCTCCAAGTACAGTACAGGAGTGTTCGTTGTACCCCCGCTCTGTTCGTCGTGGACCCTCGGGCCATCAAAAAAGAACCATGAGCTCCGGCTCAAGCCCTAGTAGCGTCCTTGCTCCTAGTAGTACGGCCAGGAACCCCTAGTAGCTTCTTGTTACTAGTAGCGATGCCAGGAGCCCTTAGTAGCGTCCTTGCTCCTAGTAGCGATGCCAAGGGCTGTTCGCAGGTCACTTCATCATTACGCCCTCACCATCAAGGCCCCTGAGCCATCCATCGAGGCTGTCCTGTTCCACCATGTGTTTCTTTTTCTTGAAGGTGTGTCAATCAATTTCACGTTTCAACAATTCGACAACGAGGCAAACGAAATGGCTAACGGCTAACACTGCGTGTTGTCTCAAACTTCCAACATACTAACACCATCTAACACCTATCTCTGAACAAATGTAGCACATGCAGCGAACATAAAGCAAAACAGCATATGATAGAGAAGGTTGGTGTGGACAATGGAGCGACCAAAGTGTGTTCATCGAAAGCATTGAAACACATGTGTCGCCTGTATTTAACTTAAGCCACCAGCTCTACAGTACTATAAGCGGCTGCCAATGAGGTCTTGTCTTGTCATGTCAGTTTCTTTGCAAACCTCCTCCGCTGCAGCTTGGCTGGCCTCTGCACGCAAAATCAGGCTTACCCGCAAAACCTCTTGGTGAATTCGAGGTATGCATTTGGGGAGTGAACTATGGATCACCAAAGACACCATAAAGTCCGTGCATGACCACTCACAAGACCCAAAATGACCCAAACATCAGCAATGCTCGTGTCTCAGCGATCTTGTGTAGCCCGGGTCCGATCTGATGCACTTCAATGCCAGTCAGATCCTTTCTTAAACTGCAGATTGCTACCTAACCAGCTGAGCTTCAGGACAAAAAAGATTGGGGCAATGATCAGAATACAACAAGAGTTTGAACATTTGACCGGATGAGCCACTTGACCGGATGAAATTCTCCGACCAAAAGTTATTCTACTCGCTGTCGGCCTGAGCTGTTTGCGCTGGAGGCCTGACCAAGAATATGCAGATTGCTTTGGTTGAGTCGAGAATCAGGGCATCGTAGTTGCATCATGAGCCATTTCGACATCCAAACAAAATGAGTGCGGGGTTGTCCGTAACATTACCAACAAAATGGGTGCTTGGTTGACCACATCCACATGGCATACTACAATAGCTCTTCATTTGGGATCATTGTCGTGATTTCAAACCACTGAAGTGAGTCGATGTCTGGAATGAACCTTTCTTGGTTTGGAAATGAATCGAGAGACTACACAGCTGTGGAAAGCAGGCAAGCACGCAGGCGGCGCGCAAGCCAACCAAACAAGGTGATACCACCTGCGACAGTTCCATGTTTTTGTCCACTAATGAAATGTCGCACAGTCTGTGCTCAGTGCACTGCGCCATCTCCAAGAACAAACGCGATGTTGCTAGGTAAAGGCCAGAACAATCATCCTGTGATGAAACTGTATGACCAAACATCCAGCGGATTGGTTCTCTGTATGTTCTTGCAGTTCTACAAACAAGCCTTGAACCGTTCCAAACATGTTGATACATATTGAAATAAATCTAGAGCAATGGAAACGGGCCAATTCTGGCTCTTTTGCGGACCCAGTGGGGTGGTGACATGCATTGTTTGACAAAAAAAAAGGACTGCCTACTTTTGCATGACCTCGGGTCACCACCCTAACCTATTAGCCTCACCGGAGTAGCTCTGTCGAGCGCGTCTTGGATTTGCGCTGTCGAGCCGAGACTTTCTCGGGCTCCAAAAAACACACAATGGTCTGCCAGGGCGTGCTGCTCTGCGTCAACTAGGCCGTGGCCCTCAAAGAGTGCCAATGGTTCGAGGTGCCAAACAAGAACGATCTCCCAATCCACCCCTTGTGGCACTTTGTGTTCTGCCCTCTCCAGTATCAATCCATATCTCACTAGTCACTTTGTTCAGTTGTTCATTCGTGAAAGCTTGAAGTAAAAGGTCTGGCCACCCCTGTCCCTTGCGGCCCAGGTCTGTTTCCGGCTGTTTGCCCAGCGCAAAGGCACATGCCCTGGTCAATCCCGCGTCACGCACTCGGGTTTGCGACAAGTTAAAATGCTCCCTGCCAGCAAAGAAATAAGTTCAAAAACGGAACATTATAGAACCTTGGCATGCGTTCCAGCTGTCCAAACCTCCAAAGCCTTATAGCTTAGATTCACGGCTGTGGGGGCTGCTTAGATTCGCGCATCGACCGCGTGACGGGAGATCGGCACAGAGGGACGGCTGCCCCAAGTGTTGCATGTGCCAACATCTGGAAAGGCTCAAGCTACTAAACAGGATACTCAGAACTCAGGACAGCCAGTCTGTCGAACTGGAATAGAACATAGGGAAGAATTGAAGAATCGGGAGAATTATATAAAAAATTGACTGATTAACCTTATTTGATGTGCATAACTTCTCCGTACAACCTTGCGATAGGTGCTAGGCTCCTGTAGAAGCAGTAGATGCACACTAAGGCATGATTGCTTATGGCCAAAGGATTTGATGAAGACTTGATTTTGAACTGTAGAAACTTCCAAGGAGATTATACAATGGGATGGTTATACTTGCCCAACTTGAACTGGTAGACAATCTCAGCATGTCTTCCCGCTTCCGGATTGCTACAACTGTCTGGCGGCACACTGCGATTCGGGGATGCCCGTCTACATAAGCGAGGGCCATACAAAAGTCATTCACGAGCTGATCGCAGAGATGAAAAGCAGAAACTCTGAGAGGAAACCAGTTGCGAGTGTGACTGAACATATATTATACGTGCCATGGATCTATGACAGCTATGACAGATTTCGCGACCAAAATAAAACAGGCCTGACCAGCTTCCAAATGCTCCCAGCATCTGGCTGGGGTTTGCAGGCTTCCAGGGATCACCACCGCTTGGGACTGCTGTAGCCTTCCATCTCATCCGCTTCATGAGTCTCCGCGGCTCGCGAGGCGACGGGCCCATTGCTGGGACTGCTGCCCAGCTGCTGTCCATAGTCGATTCCAGCCGACTTGAAGGACTTCAGCTGTTGTGCAATGTGATGCGTAAGTCTGCAGTATTCCAAGCTCAATTAGTCACTCGAAAGGTGTTCTGTTTTCGGGGAAGAGCAGTTTGAAACCGATGGCAGCACGCAACCACACTACGTCATTGAACAACATAGCGACACGTCGTGCAGGGTAATGTTTTTTTCCTGAGTTTCTAACAGCCCAGCAGGATGGCCACAGGCTTCGTGTCATTGGTTCACATTTCTACACAACCCTTCAGAAACGCTGAACCCTGCAATCAAGCACTTTATGTTTGAAGAACACAGCTCATCCTCTCCATCGGCACTCCATGGCGCTCCTACTCAGACACATCATGTTAAAAAAGAGACTCGGCACGGAAGCCCAGTTCTTAAATATCACTGGACAAGCCGGCAAGGACCACGGACCACAAGGTTCCGCAAGGAGCAATCGCATTATTTGTCCAACCTCACACAGGCAAGGCAATTGCGGCAATTATCTCGCAGTCTCTTCAAATAATCATCATATCAGATTTGGCTCACCGCCACGGGGTAGTTGGCCTTGTATTTTTGACTGATTCTGTAACAAACGAATGATTTTTTGACGTTACTAAATATTTCTGAGACCAAGCCATCCATGAGTGTCGTTACCTCCTTAAAAGGAGTTCGCACTCTTTTTGCACGTCACAAGAGATCATTTCAGTCAAAGCGCGTTCCTTCGGATTCGGATGCGAAGCGAGAAGCTGTCTCCGGCCGGGCCAGATCCGCAAAAACTCCACGGGGAACGCGGCAAGGAATCAAGGAGCACAAACAACCCTCCAGAAGTTCAGAAGCGGCAGCTGGTAGCTTGAAATCACGGTCTAACTACATGATCAGACTGCAACACTTGACTGGAGGAACTGGGCTATCATTCTGCAACTTATGAGCCTTTCCGGCAAAGTATGTACAGAGTTTACTTACTTCGGTCTGTTGGACTCACTCAGAGGTCCTCTGTCTCTCAGTTGTCTGTCAGGATACTCTCCTGAACAAAAAATGACCCTTCAAATATGAACATGATTGGACATGCATGGAAGAGGTTGATCTCCTTTGGTCTATCCCGATAACCTATCCCCACCGGACCTAGCTCATTGGTAGTATAACTGGGTTGGGGTGACTTGTGAGGTCGGGCCACTGGTATGGGCCAAGGGCATGATGCGCCCCTTGAAGTCACAGGGATCCAATCGGATTGTCCTGAGCAGTCTACTTCGTTGTTTCCTTCAGTAAAGGGCTAATGGAGCGGTGATTCACCTTGGATCTTTGGGCCTTTTGAGCTCCGCAGACCTGCGCGACCCGTCATCACCCTGTCGCCGCCGCCCGCTTTCGTGTTTATAGGTCTTGGTGGCCTCAAACTTCAAATTACTACCTGGAACCGTAGGCGGTTTACTTGGGCTGGCGTGTGGCACCGCATTCACATCAGTACGCATTTCTATAAGTGTGTCTCTCCTAGTGAGAGCCCAGGGTGACCCCGCAGAGTGGCCCCTGTGGACCCGTCGAACGGGCGTTTGTCGAACGTATCCTCTGCCCGGATACAGAGCAGCTCGCAGCGAGCGTAGGTGGCCTAGGCCGAAAGTACTAAGACTTGCTGCACTATTGAATTCCAAGCTGGCTCATGCCTTTACGTGACCATAGCGATCAAAGCTGCCAGCCATTTTGGCACGCCGTACGTGGCCGCAGCGGCCGAAGCTTGTTCAAGACTCGTTGGAGTCTGTCGTGAGCTTAGGTGCACACACAGCACGTACATTCTAACTAGGCAGGGCTTCCTAGGTCTTGGTGATGAGGTTTGGTTTCATAGGTTCCCGTCCCCTGCATTTGGTTTCCCTTTTCATCCTCTCCCCTTCACACACTTATTTTTCTCTTCGTTTCTTTCATGTCTTTCCTCGCTTCATGTCCTGTCATCTCACCCCTTTCTTTCTTTTGCGTACACATCGGTCCTGGCCTTAGGCTGTACGCGCACATCTACTGTACATTTATATAGGTTTCAGGTCGCCCAGGTTCTGATAATGAGGTTTGGCTTATTTTTTGTCCCTGTGCATCTGGTTCCCCTTTTCATTGCAACCACACACGCCTTTGTCCCGTCTGTCCTCTCCTTCATGTCTTCATCCTCTTGTCCACGCTGCGCGCACAATGCACATTTGTTCGTCACTTAGTTCTTGCCTCCCCTCGGGGAGGCGTGTGTGTGTGTGTGTGCCCCTTGAAGTCACAGGGATCCAATCAGATTGTCCTGATTTTGCTTTGGTTTTTAGCAGGGGGTGCCAGGGATGCACACTGGACTGGCGCCAACGAAGACGCCAGTGTTGCATCTGTGAAATCGATTGGGACGCCAAATCGACGTATCTGCTTGGAGAGAAACCTACGTGGAGCACAAGCTGTCTATTTCGTTGTTTCCTTCAGTAAAGGGCTAACGCAGCGGTGATTCACCTTGGATCTTTGGGCCATTTGAGCTCCTCAGACCTGCACGACCCGTCGTGACCCTGTCGCCGCCGCCCGCTTTCGTGTTTATAGGTTTTGGTGGCCTCAAACTTCAAATTACTACCTGGAACCGTAGGCGGTTTACTTGGGCTGGCGTGTAATTCACATCAGTACGCATTTCTATAAGTGTGTGTGTGTGTGTCTGCAAACACCTCTCAGCTTCTCTGTGCGCCAGATCACGCCACACACTGTAGACGCTCTTCTTTGTTTTACCATTTTGCTCAATTAGGGTGCAGGGGGGCAGAGAGGGTTTGCGAAGCTCTGCCCAACGAAGTTCTTTGCAATCGTCATAGGATTCGGAAGCTGATCACTTCTGTGTACCGGATAGCTATTGAATTTCAGCTGGTGATGCAAAAACAGTTACATTTTGTTCTCGGTTCGAGGTCGTTCCTGCACTAATTTGGTATTGCACTAAAGGGCTACAAAACAATGAAATATCACCGAATTGTGCTCTTGCAAGCTTTCTTCTAAGGGTGTGTGCGTGTGTGTTTGTGTGTGTGCCAATGTCTGTTGTCTGTTGTTTGTCCTTGTATATTGTATAGTTATTGTCAAGTGCTGTGCGTTGTGCCTATCTTTGGTGTTGTCATTAAGCGTGTCATTGTCTGTTGCTCGTTGTCGTGTTTTCCCAGTGTATTGTAAAGCGTTGCATTGATGTTTTGCGTTATCCTACGGAGTGTGTGTCTGTGTCTGTGTGTTCGCAATTGATTTCTGTTTCCTCGTGTGTGTGTGTGTGTCATCGTATCGTGTTGGGTGTTGTGAATGTGTGTGTGTGTGTAATTGTTTGTTGCCAGTTGCCGTGTTTGTGATTGGACTGGCCAAGCACTGCCGTACTATGCTCTGAAGCAGAAAATGTGGCAAATGTCATGAGGGCTGTCTACTCTAAAGTCCAGCTATCCCTAGCCTGTCGGGTGGGAAAAATGAACCTTTGAAAGTTTACGCATGAAAGAATGAAAAACGATTAAGGCCACCGGGGGGCTCACAGCGAACTCAATTGCGACGCGGCCATACACGGTCAGTCCAACGGTCGAACGGTTTTCACAGTCCTCTGGGATCATCAGCAAGGCCCCCTGCCAGGGCAGCAAATGACAAACAACGGGACGCCCCATGAAGTTCCATGAAGGACCTCCAACCTTGACATGCCGAGATGTCAATCATCGGACCCCCGAATAAAAAACTCTTCTCGATCCAAAAGACGGCAAGATGTCTCTCAGATTTGAGCCTTGTACTGCCGAAATCCGCTGATGTCGGTCGGAATTCCATAGACAATGGTGGCCTGCACGCCTACAAGCGTGGCCAGGCCAAGCAAACAAATGAAGAGTCACAGCTTCCAAGTTCAAGTCTGGAAGGTCTTCACATGTCTTCACGTGTCTAGTTCATGAGAACACAGAAGACTTGACCACCTTTGTGTCGGTGTCTCCAGCACCAAGCTAGTGCCTTGGCAGCAGACACAGGCATCTCGCAACGCCAAGCTGCGTCCGGATCAATGTTTTCAGAAGTTTACTTTCAACTACAAAGTCTGCATTCCTCCTGAAATCCACAAATCCACATAACATGAAGAAATTGAGTTTACGAAGTTACGCCATGAGCTGAGCCTTATGGACTGTCTCAGAAAATTTCATTCAAAGGGCTGTTAAGATCACTGCAATCATGCCTCTCTTCTGAAGCAAAAGCAAGGATTTGCATTCCAGTTTCCCACTGGAACCATTATAATAGTTATAATTTATAATTTGTAAAGAATATCAGATCTCCAGCCGAAGAAACCGCCACGGCGGTGGGTGCAGCTGCCAAGGCCACTGTGCAAAGCACTGTGGCTGCAATAGCCTGCAGTGGGAGTGAGGAGTGAAGCATCTGCACAAAGGCTCCATAAGTGGGATGTGTCGGAGAAACTGTTTGTCAGTGCCTTCAGATTCCAAATTAAGGGCGCGCAGCATGCCTACACCTACACAAATTGTTTGAAGGTCGGTGTGAGTTATGCCAACTGCCATGGTAAGCCGACTTTGGGGCCTTCGGAACACTTCTACTTTGAAACCGGTCCCTACAGAAAACAACTGACTTGCCAGCTCCAACACCAGCATGTGGATCGGCGATTCCTCTCATCTTTGGTCTTGTGGATGCCTACACTGCCCAAACTAAGTTTCCCAAGGCTGTACCTGTCTGATCTAGATTTGCTTTTACCCTTGGGAAGTAAAATCTGCACACACCCCTGTAGTGGACCAGAACTGTTCAGACGCATTGTGGGATCCTTCCGAGCAATGTTCACCTACATATCTGGTCGGCCCCGGCCCCTTGACACGCCTATCCATTTGCATGACACGAGTTTCCCAAACATTGGGCCCTGTTGTTAACACAAACATCCCTATAATGTTGGGCGCCACAACCAATGTCCAAGGCACGGCTGCGGCTGCGGCGGCAGCCTCGGAAGTTCAGGCGGTGATGAAATGACAATGACAATGTTGTATAATTTGTTTTCGGTTTTCCCGAACGCATAGCAAAGGTCCCCGTTTATTTCTGACATTCTGATTTTCGCGTGACGTTGCTTTCGTGTCTGCAGCTGTCCGCAACTGCTCGCAAGCGACCGACTGTGATCGATGGCTGTGCTATTGGGGGAAGCTTTTGGAGGAGGCTTTGGACGAAAGCACGCGTGACTTTGAAGGAAGTCAAGAACGAAATGTTCATTTTGGACTTGATGCGTGGAGGAAGTCTCGACCGAAATGCTCGTTTTTGACAATTGGCGCGTGGTTCTTGAAGACGTCTTGTACCAAACGCTTGTTTTGGAGACGTGACCCGTGGAGGAAGTCTCGCACGAAACGCTCGTTTTCGAGACCGCGTGTTATCTTCAGAAAACTGCGCGCGAAAGAACTGCGCGCATCTCTCCAGGGTCGAAAGTTTCGACAGCTGATGGACTGGTTTATGTTGTCTGCGCTGCACTAGCCGCCGGTAGCCAGGCGTCTGCCCAACCGCGCAAGGGGTCTCAAGAACTACTCACCACGGTAGAGCACGGCCGCGGTCAAAACAGTAGTGGGCGACACTCTCGTATGAGTATGAACTAGCAAAAATGAGGCTCGCTGCTGCATGCAACCAACCACATGCTGTGGGCGGTGCTCCAACTGACTAAACCGCGTCTCCGGACTATCGCCCAAACATGGTTCAGCGTCACGTTTGCACACTGGGCATCATGGTCCAGTAAGACACGCAGCTCTACATGAAAACTTCCGTTTCCAGTCGTCTAGCTGATATTCGGTGCCTTCGGTGGGTGTCAATCAACTCGATGTGGAACTTGAATGTGTGAACGGCATGGGCTTCACTCTGGTGGAGTGAGATGCGGTCACTTGAACTTTTTCTCAAGTCAAGACTTCGTCCTGGGGTTGAGTTGATGGTGAAGGACTCTTGGCAAGGCTTGATCTGCGCGTCTTTGTTTGCAAACACAGCACTTGGAAGCACTCTGCCTCATTGTTGGGCATGCCTTGCCTCCTTGGTCACTCTCTGGGCGGCCACATATGCCACACTCCTGGCTGGGCCCTCGCATTAGTACCACACATTCTGCGTTGCATTGGCTTCTTCCTTGGCCCCTCCTTGCCTAAGCTTACAAGCCTCTCCTCGCACTTCACCTGGTGGGATGCCCAGGCCAAGTGCTTACAAAAAGCTGGGAAACTTGAAGCCAACATAGCGCGGCGGATGTGTTCGAAAAATCCCTTTGCTTGTGTCCAGCCTGCTGGGCACGCATAAGCCGTTCTGTGGAAAGAGATCTGACAAACCATGATGCCCAGCACAGCGATGCCTGCTGCGGGGTGTTGTATCCATCATGAGGCCTGGAAAAAAGGGTGCTCCAACTCTCATGCCTGCTTTACAAACATCACAGGCAAAGTGTCACAGTGCTGAACCACATCAAATGCTTTGGATGCCTCTCCGGCACCCTCTTACCAGAGCATGTTCGCACATGACAATGGTTGGGGCACCCATGAGGTGCAAACATTCTGGCTTATCCAATGCTTGGGCCACAACACTCACAAAAACAACGCACTAACAAAACATTACCAACATCCAAAACATGCAGTAGCCAGACCTCTTACGCTACAGTGAAATGATCAACATGTACCTTGCTCAACCTTATGCACACCACAGGTTTGCTTATGCAGAGCCTCTATATGACATAGACTCTTCTTGCCACGCTAAGGAAGTTTTGCTCAATGAATGCTCACACGGTTCTGTCTAAACATCTTTTTCTGCTGACCTGGCACCACACATAGGACATATGTAGAGCAATACTGGCAAATCCAAAGAAATTGAGAAGACTAAATGGCTCAACAAGCGGCCACAGCCACCTAGAACTTGGTAACCTGTTGCCAAAATGACCTTCTGTGAATCTTTGAGCCTCCTTCAGTTTGTCAAGTTGTAGATAAACATTGATTGTAGCTCCGAGTGAACAAGACCGTGGCTTCGATATAAATCAAAAAGCTCCGCTTTGAGGCTTTGAGGCTGCAACATGAGTTCTAGGCATGGTCAGTCTCGACCCTCCAAACCAATCCACTGCTCGGATGGGTTTGTTGGTGTTTATATTAAAAGGCGTCATAGTTCTTCAGAGTTCTCCAGCGCAGCGGCTAACTCTGAGAGACCAGGCCGAGAGGGCAACGGCACTGGCCGCATGCTGAGCCAGGCCGCAAAGGCGCAAAGAGATGCCTGGCTGCGCTGGTGCAACACGTTGGTCGAGACTTGGTCTTCACCAGACCCATCCTAGTCACTAAGTCCAGTTTTGGACCAAGGTCAATGACCGTATCTATCACAAATCATGAAGCAGGGCACCAAGTTCCTGCTTTTCTTGGACTTCGTTGTCAAGTGTGATTTTATGCGATCTTGCAAAGCGGTGCTGCTTGCCTGAGTCCCGTATGCCTCTAAGAATGACTGAAGGGCAGAGTCAGAGGCAAGTTAATGCTGCTATGCACGTCCAATTCATTTACTCAAGTTGTTGGGATGGAGTACCGCAAAAAGGTTCAGAGGTCGTTGTCTAAGTCGTTGTGGTTCCACGTCTAAGTTGTGGTTCCACGTATACAGTGACTTCATGTTGAGTCGCCGCAGCTCCAACATTCTGACAATGGCCATGAATGTCGCAGATGAGTCTAGATTACACAATCACATTCTCACAGTTGCCCTCGCACAACCAACATAGTGGTGAGCACTTGGTACTCCAGAATAGGATCCATATGGATTCATGATTCGTTGGTCTGTCTGAGAAGTTTCTCGTTGGTAAGCCTCTTCGGTTGGGTTCGCCTCTTGAAGGGCTGGCTGACGGGTGCGGCCAGCGGACCTCACGTCTTCTGCGCGGTTTGGAAGAGAAATCCGTGTCACGTTGTTTCACACATCCGTTGTTTCTCACGTCCACTCCCTCAGGTCTCCGTTTCAACCAGAAAAACCTGCATCGTCCGCTGGTGTACGTGTGGTGACTTCGAGGGTAACTCAAAACTTCCCCGGCCACGTATCAAGCTCATCCATCTGTTCGTTCACGTTCATTCAAGCACCACCCGCTGTGCCTCCACGAGAGACGCCTGAGCCATGTCCTGTCATCCGGTGGAACCAGGCCAGATTGGTATCGGCATGCACATAGCCACATGCAACCATGAAAGTTCTCCCACTGCATGCTTTCGCAGCAGACTCTTCTCCTCTATGGGGGGTTCTCTCCTAACGAGGTTGCGGAGGGATTCGGAAACCATCTTGGTTTCTGATCCTTCATGATCGTCTGATCCTTCAAGTTGGTGAGATGCTGATAGACCTGCTGACTCGCATTCCAGTAACCCCCGGGCCTCTCGGCTCTTGCTGTGGCTCTGAGCCGAAAGATCTTGCTACTTTGAACCAGAGCAGCATGCAGAATGGGATCGAAGTTCAACATGGCGTGCGGTTCGCTTTGGACAGCGGAAACATCTCGAACGACACCTCTAGACGTCCCTCCCCAAACAAAAAACAGCTGCAAAACCGACAACAACTGCGCCTTTCACGACTACGGCTGCGACTTGCTGGTCGCTCTTTCTTGGCCTTGGGCGCCTTTGGCAAGTTAGCTTTTGGTTGGGCAGGTGGCCAACTTGCAGGTGGGACTGGCCCCGGTTTCTGCGCAGCATTAACCGCACCTGGCGCGGGCGGGGCAGGCTTTGGCTGTTCAGGTTGGGGTGGCTCAGTGGCGGGAGGCTGTGGCTTTGCAGCCGCCGGCGGTGTAGCAGGTGGTCGTGGCTTTGCTGCTGGGTGTGGCTGTGCACCAGCGGCAGTTGCTTGTGGCTTTGCCGGGGGTGCTGCAGGTGCCTGGGGCTTGGCAGGTGGTACAGCAGTTGCATTGGATTTCGGGGGGGGTGCTGCAGGTGCTTGTGGTTTTGCTGGTGGTGCGGCAGTTGTGTGGGATTTGGGAGGTGGTACTGTGGGTGCTTGAGGCCTTGCAGGTGGCACTGAATGTGGTTGGGGCTTGGCAGGTGGCACTGCAGGGGGCTGCGGTTTTGCAGGAGGGACCACAGGCGGTTGGGGCCTTGCAGGCGGTACTGCAGGGGGCTGAGGTTTTGCAGGAGGGACCACAGGTGGTTGGGGCTTTCCTGCTGGTGCAGGTGGGTGGTTTTTGTGCTTGGGCGGTGGTACAGGAGGCTGGGGCTTTGCAGGCAGCGGCGGCTGTGCGGCTTGCTGTGGCTGTTGCAGGTGCTGTGGCGGGTGAGCTGGTGGGTGTGGTTTGTTGGCCTGTGGTTTGGGTGGCTTTGGCAGGGCTTGTTGTCCCATCTTGGGAGGCTGCTGCGCTGCATTGAGCGGAGGCTTTGGAGGCACTGGCACGTTGGTCCCTGCCTCAACCACCCGAGCAATGCTTCCAGGTACTTCAGCAACCCAAGATTTGACCCAGTTGAAATCGCGAGCTCTTTTCTCCTACTCCAAGTTCAATGTGATGACATACTGTGTCTGACAAATAGGTACTGTATGTATGTTACCATTTTAGCTTGGCTTAATAAAGCGTTGTGCCTTTCGGAAATCTGGGATCGCTGAATCTCGAAGCGACAAGTGGTTTCCTCGACAAGTCAGACTTCCTGAAATGTGGTTTCACCAACTTCAGAGTACTTCAGAGTATGTTCAGGTGCTGATGTTCTCCTGTCTAAGCTTCTTGCTCCTAGTAGCGATGCCAGGCTGCCAGGAGCCCCTAGTAGCTTCTTGTTCCTATACTTCAGAGTATATTCCGGTGCTGATGTACAAATGTATAAAATTCCCCATCTAGGTCTGGTACTGGCGGCGGAGGAGGGTTGACAAGGCTGGTGAAGGCAGCAGGCCTTGGTGAAGACTCATCCCGGTGAGAACTCACTAACCTCTTGAATCGAAGTGGATTGAAAGATGTGGAAATACTAGTAACCTCAATGTAACCTCATGTAACCTCTGCAAAAGGGTTCGGAATTGCGTGGAAGCTCTCCCAACTTTCCAGCAAATTCCGGGGCTCTGGCAGCTCCTTTGGAGGCGGCGGAGGTTGTGGCACCTTGCACGCAGGGCCAAATGGAGGCATCTGTCAGTCAATGTGTTCAATGCTGGGCATCAATTCAGACGCTTTAGATTTGCTGGTTGGACACAAATCAATGTGTCTCTGAAACCTTCCAACACCGTCCGTCAATAAGATTGAGAGCTTGTGGAATCATGCACTCTACAGCTCTCATGCATTGGAAAGTGCGGATCTACACTGGCGCCACAAGATTATATATATATAATATATACATATACTGAATTATATAGTTATATACCAGATTCCAAACCAGAGCTGTCCCACACCAGTCGACGCGCACCTTGGGCGGTGTCTTTGGCGCAGCCTCCCAATTCCGGCTCCATCGGTGCGAACGGCTTTGTCGTTTCAAGACGTCAGACTCGACTCGTCATCAGCTTTCTCGGACGCGCGCCTTGCCCGAACCTGATCTGCTAGCCTCGTGGTCCACGACCTGCCTGGAACAGAACTTGGAGTTGAGAGTCACCCGCCCAAATGCACAAAATGCACAGTGCATCCCGCAAAGGAGAAACACTCACAAGATTCACAAGTCACGAGACCATGTTTTAGCGATTTCTTCCAGCAAAGAAAAGGGCATGGTCACTCGTTGCATCCAGCCTCACCAGCTCATCAGCCGATGGATCGACCTTTCAAGGACGGTAGTCGGAGCTCTAGGCTAGTCTGACCTACCGATGGCACTGTGATTCTTTCAGTGCACTAGAACTGGCGGAGGTTCCAACACTGTTCAGAAGCAACCGGGCAAAAAAGGTGCTTCTTCATGCTTACCGTGCATGTGCACTGCAGCCCAAGATAATATGGTCGTCTCTAAAGCAAAAAAAGTGAAGAAAAGGGATAAGAAATGAGAAAAGCATGTCCATCCATTCCATGTCGTTCGAACCTTCAAGCTGCGACCTCATCAAGACCAAAATGGAAAAAGAAAGTGAAAGAATGAGTTGTTACTGGTAGCGATGCACTTGTTACTAGTAGCTTCTAGCTACTAGTAGCAATGCCCTTGTTACTAGTAGTAGTGCCCTTGCTACTAGCAGCGATGCCCTTGGTGGGGACGGTTGGTTCTTGGCACTTGGCCCACTCCCACCTGTCGCAGCTTTTTCGCAGCCGTTCGGCGCAGGGGTTTGGCACAGAGCGTTGGCGCAAAAGTGCGCTTCTTCTCAGCACAGAAGCTTGAGAACTTGGCTGTCGAATGCTCCAAGATGGTACTTTCTTCTTGACAAATGCACATAATTCAGCGAAGATCATTGCATCATCATCTCATTCCTTGGCCAAGCAGTCTAAGCTTCCAGGGAGGCCCTAACCTTCCCAAATCGGCCATGACTCCACCGTCCCGAACAATACGGTGGTCACAGCCCAAGACCAGCTCCCTTTTTTGGAGAGGAAGCCGCTCACATTGGGGAGTCGAGTGTTGGACACTTCAGAGACATCACCACCAAGGGCCAAATCGCTACGTCTGAGGCAGACATGCTACTGTCGACTCTGCATAACTCTGCTACGTCCAAACATGAACATGAACGATCCCTGCTTTTGGGCTGACTGATTCGCCCTCGTGGTGCGAATTCAGGGCCAGGCACAGGGCTCAACGGTGTTCAGTTGAGACTGGGGCCATGAAATGAAATGTTATTCTACTGAGATTCTACTGCGTGTTTTAGTGTGCATGGTTCGCATGTTCAAAGTGTGAGATCATTCGGGAAGGAGAGTCAAGTGGATTCACTCCATTTCACTCCTGCATGCTTGCTGTTGGGCCTCAATCTTGCCCCATACGCCAGCCCTTCCATTGAACATGCCTATTTGGACTTGCTTTCACTCGCCTTTTCTACCTGCAGAGAGGTTGAGAAAAGGGAGAGAGAAATCACACCTGGCAAACTGTGCACAGGTCCAAAATCATCCCTCGCCTAAGAACCTTCAGGATGAAAAAAGAAGGCAAGGAACCCTCTTGCAAAGGCCCTCTTGGAAGGTTGTTGAAGGAGGTCCTTTCTTCTTTTTTCCATCTTGGACGGATCCTCAGCTCTTTGGGTGCTCTTTGAGTAAAGCTTGGACAAGGTGAAAATGATTCTTGGAGAATTGTCTGTGAACGCCATCCGTGACGGGGATCTTGTTCCGAGAATGGGTCATGTATCGTGCTCCAATCGCGGTCTGAGTTAACACAATGTACGGTACTCGGAGTGTTTCTGCTTCCTCTAACTAGTGATACTGTTTGTCCCAAATTTGTCAAAGCTGCGGTGTTTTCGTGGGTTCTGCCCTTTTGCCATTCTTTCAGCGTTGACGTCCACCACAATCCCTGTGAGTGTTTGATAAGGTACTGGTGGCAAGGTTGCTCAAAGACCGTCGGAGGTTATCGTTTGTCAGATAAAACGATCAAATCACAGTGCAGACTGACTCCCTCCCTCCCTCCCTGCCTGCCTCCCTGCCTCCGCCTCATCCATCTCTCTCTCATCTCTCCCTCTCTCTCACCGATTTACTTGCCCAGGTCACCTCGAGTAAAGCCTCATAGAGGCCCCCATTGCTGAAGGGATCTAGGCGACAGCACACCTGCCAGAGTGGTCTGGTGTGTCCGGAAAATGCTGCATGGCTGTCATATGCTTTTTATACGAGTACGTTACACATCTTGACAGTCTCGTTTTGGGCTTAGAATGTCGTCTTCTGAGCCCGAAAACCCTTCACCCACCGATCTGTGCCGAAGAATTGGATTCAGAGGGTCGAGGCAAAGCATTGAAAGGAGTTCGGAGAAATCAGAATCCCCAGAATTCGATAAATCCGAGAATCCCATGAAAGGATTAAAAGCATTAATATCAGATATCTTCTGGAACTTCAGAGATTCGTGATAGCTCCTGAAGGAAACGTGAATACACTCTTCGAATGCTGTTCATATACCCACTACATATTCTTGTTCAGTCGTTCCAAACCCTGCTCCCGCCGCATTGGTCGCTGCCGCAGAGGTGGCCACTTGCATGTGGGCCTTGCGGAATGGGCGGCGGAACCAAGGCAAGGTCAACTAAGTTGAATTAACTAAGTCAATTGATCTCCCATTTTAGTTGAATGCTGACTTCTTTGACTTAGATCATTTGAGTCAACTGAGATCCGTTGGGCTAAGTCACTGACATTTTGAATGCTGATTTGGGTTTTGTCTGACAGACCTTTTTGATCTCGTGTGTTTTTTGCGTCTCTGGCCTCGGAGGCCAAGAGTCTGTGCTTCTGGAGGGTCTCCAAGAACCGGTGCAGCAGTAGAGCACCGCGCTGGCAGTGCATGGAAGTGCTTTGTGAAAAAGAACACGGGAGGGTCAGCCGGAATGTCTTGCCAAATCGACAGAACAAGGAAACAATGTTGAAGAATATCTCAAGACTCTAGACATGGGCCATGGGCCATGGAATAAATTTGACCCATGTCTAAAAACATCCAGAAAGGAGTGCCACCGGCGTTTTAGTGTCTGATTGCTCTGGCGTTCACACCGGAGAAAGTCAGATGATCAGAAAAAGGCTGTAAAGCCAAACAACCAGCAGTGGCCCATTGACAGCGCACCAGCGGTGGCGTCACGCATTTGCTCTTGCCTGGCAGCTGCTAAAGTGCGTTTTCGTGTGTACTACGCTTGAGTGGTGAACTGCTGTGAGTCTTGTGGTATTGGTTTACATTGCAGGGATTTGGGGGCGACCCACCATTATGATTGCTAATGTCCATCTCCTGTCCTGTCGAACACTCTCCTCAGAGGTGAAGTGTCTGATGGATGGGGCAAACATGCACAAGCAAAGGTAGCTGGTCAAAAGCTCACTATAGGTTACAAACAACTGACGCTCAATCAACTAAGCCCGGTCCCGGCTTCCTCTGTACATATATATATATACATATATAATCATATATATACCTGAGAAGCGGCGGACGAAAGCCAGCAGCCGCCAGACGAGTGTCTCTTTTTCTGGCGGGCATCGCGGCACAAGACACATGGTCGGCAGCTTGCGAGTCAGCGGTGCCGCGGATGCGGGGGGGCGTATGTAATGGTGATGGAGGGAGCAGAGAAGCAAGCCGGGCGGCTTTGGGATAAGTTTGGTGTGAAAGAAGTAGTGAAAGAGAAGTGCGATACGTTGTATGTTAGTGTAGGTCATCATCACAAGGCAATGGAATGTGTTTGTCACATGCAGGAAGGTATGCATCTTATGGAAGTTGGAAAGCGACATCAGCGTTAGCGACGGGGAAATACCGTCTGAGTTCGAATGGTGGGATACCACGTGCCACGTGCGCGCGCGGCGCGCCCTGCTCGGCGTCCATTGCATCACTCGCATCACCAGACCCCATTTTCACTGCTTTTCTGACCCTCGCTTTGGAGCGCTCTCCCCCACCAAGCTCCGGGTTCACCCTCTCAAAATGTCCCTCTCAGCACCCTCCCCCCCCACGCCCCCTTAACTCACTTCGTTCGCTCTAAAAGCTCAAGCCTAGCCTATCGGCTGGCTTTCGTAATAATTACATATAGACTCTTTATGGTTTGATCACAATTACATACATTTGCTGCATGGGGTGCATAGTTACAGTTCCTTGTATCTTCAACAGGGCAACAAACATCCTGATTGAGAGCCGGGGTCCACACCCAGCAAGTCCGCAACGCTCGCAAAGAAACCGTCCTTGTCATGGACCTCGACCGAGCCGATTGCAGCGCTCGACTTAGACCGGCAAACATGGATTACTTTTGTCGGTCATCCCATCCATTCGATTAAGTGGTCTGTGGAGGCTCCTGCTATTGTTTCATCCTTGTTCACTGTCCTTGTTGCCACCATGTGTTCGGTTTTTTTGCCATCCAATTTGCATCATTGTACCATTGGTCCGTCATGTCTAGACGCTGTTGTCCAGAAGGTTGTAAACTAAGACTCTGCTACGTCATGCATTGTGTCTTTTGCCATGTCCTTTTCCTTTGTTGCTCTGATGGTAGTATATTGTAGTATGCCTGGGTGTGAAAAGTGCATGTGTCCTGTGAAAAAATAGTTATAATGAGTAATAAAACCTGTATATGTATGTGTGTTGATCTTCTTCCTTCAAACGAGACACATGCATACACATGGGGTTGAAGATGATGCCACTTGCACATGCGCGTTGGATGATCTGGGGTGGGGTGGGGGGAGTGGAGTTGGGTGGCGGGAAGACGACGTTCGATTGAATGTGCTTCAAAGATGATGCCACATGTACACAAGCATTCGATCATGATGCCACATGCACATTCGCGGTGCTTTCGTTGGTTCAGGTGTGCTTGGAAGATCTTGGTTCCACCAGCTACCTTTCTGCCCGCAGTTCTTGGCTTGCGGGAAGCAACGGTCCTTCGAAGAGTGAACAGGCTGAGCCGTTCTTCAGCTGCGATGCACGTGGACTTGTTGGCAGCTCAAAGGTTGCTTTCCAAGCCATGACTCAAGCTGTGTTCGCAAGCTGCACTGGCTTTTGATCGGCCACGGGGGAAGCTTTCCATGGGGCACCTCGTTCCAGGGGCGTTCGCTCCAGACCTCGACATGTTTTTAGAGTCCAGTTGAGCACATGTCCCCCGCAAAAGACAGTTGAAACGCGTGCGAAACCACAGGGCCATGAAAGGGAACTGGTCTGCGGTCTTGACACACCGTCCGACTGTCGTATTCCTCCTCTCGTACCCTTTCCTTTGCTGTAGCCTTTGTTGCCGAATCCCTGTCATGTACCTTTGCGTTTATGTTTTTTTTCCTTCGCCCATTGTTACATGTCCATGGGTGTTTGTCCTCCACCAGAGTGTGCTTTCTGCCATTAGCCGCAAGTGTTGTTGTAGTGTCCCTTTTCTTGTTTTAGCACGATTGCTATCTTCCTTTATTATCCTTTATTCTGGTATATAGCTTGTGGCCATATACGCTGAGAATTTGTTATTCCATAGTCGAACATGTCATAGTCCCTGTTCTGGGATAGTGACTTGAGCTTGCCTCGGTGTATTTGTGCCAGGCCTGTGTTGTCCCCTGCCGTTTCTATGTTTGTATGTACTGGCAGCTGTTTGTCTTCCTTTTCGCAGGCTTGTGGCCCATAGGCCCAGTAGTTCCATATAGATTTTAAGGATCTTTACTGATGTACTGATATAAATGTTGATGCTTCCATTCCAGGTTTGGGATCTAGACTCCACATCATGCTTGCTTCCCAACCTCATCCACTCGCCCACCAGAGCGGCCATGGACTGGCACAAACGGTAGGTGGCAGGGTATGGCAGGGTAGCCCCGCTACCCCTTCTGTGGCTGTCACGTTGTATCGGATCTCATCGAATACACTGGCATGCCATCGCTGCTTGAAAGATCTCAGTAGGGCCTCCTCAATCATTCAAAACGACAATCCTGTCTGTTTAAAGATCTACCAGGAGAGACCATCAATCCCTGGCATGCCAATCGCCAAGTAGAAATCCTATCTTAGGATCTCACAGGACCAACTGGAACAGGGCCTCCATGTAATCCTGGTTCTGTAGGGACTCCGAAAAAAGAAACTCGGAGGGAAACAAGATCTTTAAATAGAAGCCACCCCTGCCCCGATCACCTCGAGTCAGGATCAAGCGTCCGATTTCCTGAGGTGAGGCACCTGGCGAATCCGTCTCCCCGTTTCGGGCCGTCGAACAGGATCCTTTGAGGGCCCAGCTTCGGAGAAAAGCTGTGGCACAGCTTCGGTCACCGGCAGAGTTGAAAATCTGAAAACCGGAGATTGGGTCCCAGTTGCTTTTTACCTGGTACAACACAGCATAGACCCACTCAGACCCACCAACTGATCCCATTTTGCTCTAAACTAGGCCTCAAGTTCTTGGCTGGATCTAGTTCTTCTTGTTCCAAGCTATCCCTTCGATTCGTTGAAGAGGTTCATTCTTTCTGGTGTTCAAAAGCCCAAGTGGCCTTTAAAAAGAATCTCAAAGCTTAAAACAACTCAAAGATTTGAGCTGTTCTACTCCTTGATGCTTGAGCCTGTGCAATTCTTTTGAGCCCCACGCTCTCCTTCCAGTCATATATTTTGTGTCATTGTGACCTTCTTGGCGAGCTCGCCGCTTCTTCTGCAACCCTTCCCATCTCGGCTTGTTGGCTTTCTATGTTTCTATTTTCTTCTCCTTCTTCTCCTTATTATTTTCTTTCTTATTTTTCTTCTTATTTGTCTTCTTCTTGGTCATCTTATTCTTATATATTATATACTATTATTATTATTATTATGATGTTTCTTATTCTTCTTATCATTCATTCTCCTCTTCCCCCTCCTCCTCATTCTTCTTCTACTACTTGTTCTTATTTGCGTTCTTCCTCTTCTTCGTCTTCTTCTCCTTCTGCTTCTTTGTCCTTCTTCTTTGTCCTCCTTCTTATTATTATTATTCGTCGTATTCTTCTTGTTGCTATTATTTTTCTTTGTCCTTCTTCGTCTTGGTCTTCTTCTCCTTCTCCTCTCCTTCTCCTTCTCCTTCTTCTTCTTCTTCTTCTCCTTCTCCTTCTTCTTCTTCTCCTTCTCCTTCTCCTTCTTCTTCTTCTCCTTCTCCTTCTTCTTATTCTTCTCCTTCTCCTCCTTCTTCTTCTTTGTCTTCTTCTTCATCTTCTTACTAGTATATTCTCCCTGGTGAGGGCCCTGGTTTTGGGTCTCACATGACATGACATGACCTTTCCAAACGCTCAAAAAGCAACTAAGATAACTAAGGTGGACGCAGCCTGCAAAGCTTAAGAGATAAAGAGCTTCTGAGGATTCCTATGGATAGATGAGAAAACTCCTGAGACATGCTTTGTTTGTTGAGCCTCTGCAGGATTTGTGAGCGTTCTAAGTATTTGGCGGGTTTCGGGTGACCCCTGTAGGGTGTTGAAAACATAATTTGCCTTAGGTTGTACTGAGAAACGACATGGGACCACAAATCAGTCTATAACACATGTGCCGGTCGCAGCAATCAGAAACCGCACCTTGGCGCAGAAGGCGCGTCAGAGCACGCAAGTCTGAGACCGTTTCGGGGTCGACCTGAACACGCGAACCGATGTCTGCTCGCAACCGATTGATGTGGCTACCTGCATATCCACAGCACTCACCTATGCTTCAATTGTGTCATATGGTGGTTGACTCGCTCGGCGCCCAAGAATATCTTAACAGTCTTAACGGGCTGTAGGGCAGAAGAGACAGTTGTCTTCCCAACCCAGTTACCATGTTGGCTCCACAAATCCACATATCAGTCTTGTGAGAATCCCGAACAAATCTTCCCAAGGCACCTCGTGACACAATCCACATCGCAAAAGGACCACCTGCCAAGTTCAGGTATGAAACGAGGTGTTCTTATGCTATGCAGCCCTTGAAGGACTTAGATTTCTTTGGGACTCACAGCTCGCGTGCTCCATTTACACCTCCTGGAGTGAAGCAGAGAGGCAGGATGAGTGCGAAGCAGAGCTTCTTTCCGGTCACCCTGCGGTCTGCACAGCACGGTCGGTTGAGTCGCCTCCAAGTGGTTCTCGTCTTCAATGGCAGTGCGTATCAGGACATTGCCTGGCGCATGCGGCGCATGCAGCGCATGCGGCATGTCAAGAGCTGCGGATCGGGCAAACATCTGAAAGCGTTCCTGATCAGGTGGGTTTCAGTGGAGGCTAATTCTTCAAAAAATCGTAGGGTCGTAGGGTTAATTTCTTGCCAGAAGACCCACTTCGTCACAAGTGAAGATTAATTCAATCTTGCGGCTTATGGGTCAAAAGGTGTTGAGTTCCATCCCCACAATCGCATGAGTCTGCCAAAGTTCGTGCCCTTGGGTCCAGCTGCAATCTTGCAAACATTGGGCAACTTCAACGTTTGCGTGGTGTGCAAAAATGTGCTGAGAAACCCTTTGACCTGAGCGTCTAACATGGCCCTGTCTCGACTGCCAGCCTGAACACAGTCCTCCTTAGTTTTGCAGGAAGTTTTCCACTGGTGGGTTCTTTCTAGCTTCTGTTGAGCCAACTTATTCACTCATTCGTGCAGTTGATGGATGAACAATGACAAGTAATATCCATCAAGAACAAAGCCGAGGGCTGTACCCAACGCGATGCCATGCTCAAACAGCAGCATCCAGAATGTCCGGGCCTGGAAACGCTGATCAATGTCAACGTCCGAATATCAAGAGCCCCGTTTTGGTTTGAGGGCATGTGCATTCAATCTTGATTTTGGGTGCTTCGCAAATAGTCACGTAGAGTCTAGAGTGTCCAACGATCAAATGCTACGCCCTCCTAGAGCGAAAATGGCTCTAAGCTGATCTAGGGAACGTGTCCGTCCCAGCTTTCTCATCTTTCTCTCTGAGTTTGTCTTCACAGGAGACGACTGATCACCCTGAGCCGCCAAACTAACTGCCTTGCAGCAGCACGACGAGCACACAGCTCGGTCTCCCTGAGATCGGTTCAAAGACCGTTGGAAGTGTTGAACGGGGATCTGTGCCAAACAGTCAGCATCCTGAAATGAGGGATCCACGCATCAAGGACAAGTCAAGGAGCATCCTGGTGATTCAACCTGGACCCCGAACAATATCCAAACTTGAGACCCTGCCAAAGCCAAGGGAGGCCGCTTGTTCTGTCATGAGTGGGTCTTCTGACTCTTTCACTTCTGATGCAGGGTAGTTTGTTCCAAAGAACCAAACATTCTTGTTTCAGCACCGGCTGGCTGGGTTCCCTACTCCACATAACACCCGCCGAAACGTTTTCGTGTCACCTGTGGCCAGGGATGGCACGCACGCTCCGTCGCATCGGACACGGGCGATGCAACGAGCCCAGGAAAGGTGACATACACCTTTTGTACCCGAAACTGAACGGGTTGCGCTCGTTTAGGGTTTAGTTTGGTCCAGGAAAGTCCGAGCTTGCCAGGAGCGTAAGCCAATTTGCTACAGCACACCCTCTGGGGTGACCCATCAAATGAAATAGTAAAAATCAAATAAAAAGCACATATTAAACATAGATATGTACATAAACAATTGCATATAATTACCGCAACCAATCAACAAGAAAACCTACTAGGACTACTAGGAGTAGTAGTCCTCCTAGTCGTGGTAGTCGTAATCGTGGTGGTGGTGGTGGTAATACGGAATTCTACTTACAAATCAGATTTTGTTGCAGGCGAAATAGAACTACCATGCGCAGATGTCGTGGCACGGGACGGGTTGGGGGTCTTCCCCCTCTGAACATACGTTGGACCGGCTCACAAAATGTATGCTATACGTTGGACCGGCTGTACGTTGGCTGCTTAAAGGGGCAATCTCTTTTTGTTGTCCCTCAGAACCTGATGTTTCGCCCTCCACCCTTTTTTCACTATCGTCACTTTTGTCTCACCGCCTGCCCTTTTTTCACTGTCCACACGTTCTTTTCAAACCTCTACCCTCTACCCTTTCTTTTTGCAATCCACCTTTACCCTCAGTTGGCCTCTTTCCACCTGCAAATTTAATCTTCGCGTGGCCCACAAAAGATGCTCAACCTTGGAATGGCCCTTTCCTCCACTAAACCAAATGGCCACAAGGTATGCCATGTTGGAATAATGGCCCTTTCCTCTTCCAACATGTAGCCTCACGTGACCTTGATATCATCCTTTGATGACATATATCCCTTCGTCTTTGCGCATGTGACCAGGCAATCAGGAACGGTCGTTTTCAAATTTCAAACATTCTTTGTGTACACGCCGTTCCGGACAGCTGGAGGCCAAAGAAAAGAGTTAATCACAAAACTTACCACCAACATTGGAAGTCGAATCTTGCTGTTCATCAAACCCGAGCAGAATTAGTCAGCTAAGTATTTACAGAGAACTCTGAACGCAAGCAAGCTGAGTCGTTCTGCTCAGCTGCATGGTCATGGCAAGTCTTAGCCTGCGTGAATACACTAGTAGATGTACATGGAAGGTCCACAGCCTTAGCCAGCGCGCACAATCACGGAGGATGTCACAAACGATCCGCCTCGGAGAGGCAAATCCCATCTTCCCATGAAACAATCGCCACCTGGCAACACGATTCCGGGAAAGACTCGAAACAAATCGATATACACGCACGATATACACGATCAGTGAAGTGGCACTCTGCCCCATCTTTGCCAAAAAAGATCTGACATTTACGCATATTCAAGCTGCGTTCTGAGAACACGATGCCTTTGACTTTGAAAGTACGTGAGTTGATGCGATTTGAATGAATCATTGGCGACAAACCGGAAAGACCCTATAGGCGCGCAGAAGCTCCGCAACCACCTTGCCCCTCTCGCCTCCGCATTGGAGCAGCCCATCAGCCTGGGCACCGCCACAAAGGGTGCCTTAGCTCCGCTCGAAGCAAACTCAGAAGGTTGGGGGGCAAGAAGGTTGGGGGGCGAGGGAGCTCCATGCCTACTAAAAGAAGGTTGGTTTCCAAATGTGTCCAAGCCCAAACAAGGAGCAAGTTGTAGCAACCGATCTGTCCAAGTCCATCTAGGCTGCTAAGTCTTGTCTGTTGCCTCCCAGACTTCCAAGACTTTGAGACAACATTCAAATGTCCAACCCACTGGGCCCAGGCCGCACGCTTGGGTAGTGCGCTGCGCAGGTGCTGGAGGAGATTCACCTTTCATAGCGACGCCCTAGGTCTTATGATAGCGAGGTTTGGCTCATCGGTTGTTCCTGCTCATATGGCTTCCTCTTTCATCGCCTCCACCTACCTTGTGTGCCTTTTCATGTCCTCCCTTCACGTTTTGTCCACCTGTCTTCTATTTGCGATGTCCTTCAACCGCCCCCGATTGGTGTGTGTGTGTGTGTAACCTTTGGATTCAGAAGGGGCCTTTGGATCCTTTTGGCTTGTCTCAAGTGCAGGGGGACCATCCATGTGCTGATGGCCCAACGAAGCGGCGACAGTACATGCGGATATCACAGCTGATCACCGTGACATACCTGCTAGATTTTGTGGATGCTGCCCTATGTCCCTTTCTAGATTCCAGGCTGTTTAGCTCGATGTAAGGTCTGCAAATGCGCACTCGCCGCTCGCTCTCGACCTCTGAGCTTCTTTGGCACTTGATGCCTTTTGGAAGATGAAGCCGCAGAATGTTTGGGCCCCGTTGCATGTTTTACTTAGGCGTCTTTTCTCACTAATTTTTTCTGTGCATGTGGCATTGAGACCGAGCGCAAAATATCCCAAGAGTGCGTTGCTTTTGGCATCCCTTGGTAACTTAGGGAGGCGAACTACTTCCGAGCTATGATGAGCAATGTAGCTATATGTCCCATCCAAGGTCTCCTATCATCATCTATATAGCAACATTAATTGGACTGGCACCAAGCAATAATAGGGATATGACGGTATGACAAATATAAAGCACCTGAATGCTGTGTGCATCTGTGCGCTGTATGTGCTGAGAAACCTATATATATATATCGGAGCCCTTGACCAGTAGCGGGATTTCATATGCCTGGGGCCCGGTGCCTCGTTTTGCAAGTTCAGTTGCTGCCGGGTGAAGTGGACAAAGCTCTCAAAAGCGTCCTCTGCACGTGGCCTCTGCGGTCCAGCTTTGGTGACGTACTTCGAAGTGCTGGTGACAGCGCCGGGCATTGACATGTCAATAGTTCATGTCCAGAACCTGTTAGAGGCTGGAGGATATATATATATATGTATTATACATAATTAGATTTTAACAAATAGAGAATGATGAAAGGCATGAGCCGGCTCCTAGACTCCCTTGCAAATCCCGTGAAAGTAGTAAAGTAGTAAGTAGTACCAACTGCGCAGAAAAGGCACTGGCACAAATCAACAAGAGTCATGCGATCGACAAAAAGATATATAGAGCCCTGCTATAGCCCTGTCGACATGTGATGGTATCGCTTCCCAGAAACGACCTGGGCCCCTGCGAGATCAGGCCCAACCGCAGCAAAAGGCGGAGAACGATGCCAACAAGCAGCAAGTCTGCCTGTCGATCACTTGTCAAAACTGTTCTACAGGTTATGATATCGATGTGTCTGTGTCGTTTTGAGTACAAAAAACAAATAATAATGCAATTAGATGTCAATCAACACGAACATGTGCTGATATTGAATTCTCATGGGCTCAAAGTAGCAAAACTCGTTGTGGGTTCTTCAGATATCTAGGGATCATGTGGACATGTCGTATCAGTGAACTGAAGAGAAACTCTCCATGGCCCTCTTGATGGCCTCTGTGGATATGTCAATCCCTGGCCGCCGAGCCCTCAGCCAAGGATGGCGATCTGAGTTCATGAAGGGATTTGCCATTCTGAAAGGCGACTCCTTCAGAGAAATGTGGCTCACGGGCGGGCGGGAGCCATCAGCACGGATTCTGCAGAAGGTCACAGAATCTGGAGCTTCGGACCATACAGCGGCTCTGCATGCGCCGATCGCCTAACACATGCGGCAACATCAAGCAACCCCTTACTGACTGCGAGTCTTGATCTAGCATCCACTTGCATCCGCATGCAGGGCGCAGCTTTTCTACCGATGCAAATTGGGTTTGGATGGTTTTCCTAAGTGAACAAATGCGCAGCTTGTAGCTCGCCGTGAAAATGTTCATGAAAATCATTGAATTGGAGCCTGGCCAGGTGCCAGGTCTTCATCATCGTCCGATGGTGCGCTTCCATTTGTTGCCATCAGGGAAGACGATGCCAGTGCCATCCCACTTTCCTTCAACGTTGGCAGGACCACCCTTGGAGCTGAAATCGAAGACCAAGGTGTCGGATCCTGGAGTAAATTTGGGCGTGATCCTCCAAGCCGTTGGGCGTCCAGCGCCTAGGCATCCAGGATTTCCATCAGTTCCAATGACCACCATGGGCCCAAAATCTTCCTGCTCGATCTTCCGGGTGCACCCCGGGTGGTTGGGATCGCTGTAGTAGCCGAACCAGTCCGACGGAAACTGTCCGAAGGGAAACTGCTGTGCGGAAACCGGCTCAAGGCTCAAAGAGGCGGTCGCGCCGAGGGCGAGGCCCAAGAAGCTCCTTCGATCCACGGACTTGGGCAAGAGAAAGCTGGCTCCCCTGGAAGGGACAGATGAAGACAAGGGGAAGTAGAGTGATACAGTAATTGTGTCGTTTTTATGGCCGTTTACCCTTTCAAGATCTTTCAAGAGAAATCAGTACAACGTGTGAACATTCCCCTTCAAGTCCCATGACAACCAAAAGTGATTTGTCTGCCTGAGAGTACACAGAACTCCCACCGCTGCAAGCCCAATCTGCAGGAGCCGCGCAGGGCGCCGCCGCTCTGAAGTTGCTGCAAGATGCATGGACGCCATGGCAAGTGAGGTGCTAGGGTGGCAAAAGTGAACCTGAGCCAACCATCATGAAGTCTGTCAACCATGAAGTCTGCAGCTCTGGGGGCTGCCCAACACCAACACGAACTAAGCCAACAATGCCAAACAGCCAAGCGTATGCGATGAAGTCCATCATGCGGCCACACAACTCAAGATTCTGCGAGCAACATCAAAAATCCAACCATCAACAAACCATCCAAAAGAACAAAAAATGAAAATAAATGGCCTCGTTCACAAGGCCCCCTTTTGAAGGGAAGGGAGGCCCTTGATCTTCTTTGGTTTCTTTTATGTTGCATCCACTCCACCTTCACTTCTCCAACCTGCGGTGCGGCCGTACGTGCGGCCTCGGCGACCTTGACTGGAGCTTGGCATCGCTTTCCTTGTAGTAGGGGCCTGATCAGTCGTTCCTTCTGGATGACACTGGAGATCAAACATCAGGTAGATCCCGGTCACACATCCAAACGCCCACTGATTGCTTTGTAGATTTTGTAGGAACTCTTCTCCAACAAACAATTTGCAGGAAAGCCCCGCTGCCTTGAGTGCACGCATCAATCTAACCAGTCCCCACTGATTTGAGATCACCATTGTCTGCGTGCGGGGTGGCGTCAGTCCCTCCAAAAACTCCTCCAACTGGGGCATGATGACTGAAACCAAAAGTTATATCCAAAAGTGGCTTCGGTGGGGAGGAGGGTCTGTGCTTTCGTCGAAACGATCCGCTTGACACCGGACCGGCCGACATGGCCGGTCGCGGTTGAGTCAAGACACCATGGCCGCCATCGATGCTTGGACGGGCTCGCCTGACGTTTTGCAACGAAACCGTCGCCTGAAGCCCTCTATTGTTATTTCATGTTGTATTGGTTCTTTCTCCCAGTATGCCATAGTCTACATAGTGACTTCTCATGATTGGCTTTCAGATGTGCGATTCAGACAATCAGCTGAATTTCAACAGACCAAATCATTTCCAGCGCCTGGCTCTTCGCCAGTTCATCTTCTCGCAGCACTGCGCGGAAGATCTGGCGTCATGCTCCAGCTCCAATCTTGATATCTACTAGCGTAATAATATAAGTATGAATGAAACTGTCCGTTTCCACAGGTGAGCTCACCCGCTTCACAAACAATCACGAAGGTATGTGATTTGGTCAACGAAACGGCACCTGAAGGCCCACTGCAGGGTGCCAAAAGCAAAGCACCAACGGTCAGCTTGAGTTGTCGACTGGATCCAGAAGCTCAATGAGTCCCAACCGACATGATCATTGCGCCTCGAGCACACCATCCGCACCACGAGGGAGCAAGTCTACCAGGAGTGCCTCTGAGATTTTAGGCAACTCTGCTGGCTAAGCTCATCAACGGCTCCAGAAAAGCAAAGGTTCACTGATCCACACCATCTCAGACTCGAAGGTCCTTAAAGAAGCCCTCACTCATCACCCGCACCTGTTGCCAATCAGCCCCACAGGCATCAGCCAACTGGTCATAGAGCTCCTGCATGAGATCCACACCCTCTCGTGCATGCAAATTGCAAAGGAAGCATAAGAAACCTATATACACCAACCTGTAGCGCCATGATGAACTATGGAAGTGTGCACCGCCACGAGGCGCCCTTTTTTAAGGCCAGGGGGTCAGGCACCTAGGGTAGGCCAACAAGCTAACAAGTAGGGAGCAAGCTACTACGCTTAAGTAGCTTCTTGGGTTGGGAAGAGAAGGGTTCCAGCTTAATGATGTGGTTACTAGATGCTTTTTTGGGGAAACATATGTATATAACTTTAAGCCCCATTTCACAGTAAACTCCGACTCACCAATATTGAAGTGGAACATGGCCCTTTGAACTTTGGAAAGGCATGTTTCTTCTACAAAGGAGTTGTTCACTTCCATGTAGGCGATTCGGAATGTAACCTTCCACTATATAATCGTTGGGATTCGGATCCTCGTCTGCTGGACATACCAACTTGAGCAGGCACTTCCTGCTGAAGAATACGGATCGTTGTGGTGTTACAGCTGATTTCTTAAACTTCCCGAACTTGACAAACCAGCTAGGGTTTTGGAAGGGTTTGGATGTTCCGTGACCCAAAAAACCTCGCATCACAAAACCACGCTCCGAAACAAATGCTTTCGTAGCCACGTCGCCACGACTCCTCAGGTTGATGCGTAGCACCCCTGCGCGGTGCGGTGCGGCTGGTGGCACCGGACTCCTGGCGGTCGATGCGTCTGGTCACCAAAACATCCAAATATTGAACCATTCAACCTATCAAATTGCATCTGCATGACCTAAAAATACAGTTGTTCAAGTTGTTCTTGTGTCATTGAATCTGGTTTCCCCACCTAAAAATACCAACTTTGAGTCCACAATAGATAGTGATCCCCAAAGCCCTCACGTCATGCTTGGTCCAAGCAGATTCTGATGTCTCGGCCAAACCTGGCTCGTTCCGGTCGGTCGAACCCCACGTTCGTCCCTTGGCCTGATCACGAAGCATGGCTACCAAGCGACCCAAAGGCTGGTAAGCGTGCAGCGCCAGGTCTGGCCGTAAAACTGCCACCTTGAATGCGTTTTGGAAATTGGAACGAAAAAGAATTAGCTTTGGATCATGCATTCATTTATTGTGGGTTGAATCTGATTTTAAGATATTTTAAGGGCATGCGCAAATCATATAGCCTTGAAGTTAGCAGCCAAACAAATATGTCAATTGACATCAGTTTCGTCTTTCGGACACCTCACAATGCCTCACATGTTTTGCCCACGGAAACTCACTGCCCGATTCGCAGAGATCCCGTGCCCAACGCGCCAGCAGTGTCGCCAAGGGAACTTCTCGACGTAGTCGAGAGGCAATGGTGGTGCTTGGTGGCCGGCAAGGTGTAACTTTGGTGTTTAGGAAGAGTGTGGCAGGATGGCATCAGACCCAAATATATCGGAAATCCTGAAGCAAAACCGAGTCAGAAGTTTTTTTGATTCCATGCAAACTTGAGGTTGGAATGTATGGGATTCTCGGATGCACGCGATCCGAGCACTGCAAGTTGATTGTCCCACTACATTGCACTGTCGAGTACTTCAGCATGTTTTCTGTTCTGCCGGAGTGCACTGGATGGATGATAAGGAAATGAATCCGAGCAAGAGAAGTTGAGAATCGCAAGAGTGCCCTCAACCTCAACCAACTGCTTGAGCTGAACCACAACCATCCACAACCACAAATAGGAGGAAGAGTTTTCAGGTGGTGAGAAGCACGTTCTCTGGTGCCTCACAAGGCTCCCGAAGGCCCGAAGCCTTCCCATTAAATTAAACCGGAAGCTTTCCAGTGCACCAACATGGCATCAGGAGTCGACCGCCGGGCTTAGTGCACAAAATGTAACAAATCCACGACGCAATCGACGCACTTTTTCAGCGATTCGTGCGCACGGCCACGTTCTCACAATCCTGCTGACTACAACAGAATCGTCGGGTTTTGAGGATCTAATGGCATCACCGGATCCGGCACACGGTACGGTGGAACCTCATTGTTCTGGATCTTTCTAGTCCATTCACGATGCCGCTCCGCCCACAAATAGGTCATCTTCTTGAACTCCTCCTCTTCCGGTGAGGGCCTATCAGGTGGCCGTTGATTCCGGACAGGTGGCCGTTGAGGCGGAGGGATATCAGAGTGGCTGGCAGGAGGACAGTCAGCATGTGTGCCTGTAGCATCAGGTGGTCGTTGATTCCGGACCGGGTGCATGGGCGGAGGGATATCAGAGCTGGCAGCGGGAGGACAGTCAGCATGTCTGGCTGTAGCAGCCTGGCAAGCTGGACTTCGATTCACAATGTCAGGCCCTTCAGAGAACGTCCGCTGGTTTGGGACTGGCTCCGTCTGAAGTGCTGGGGCTCGCGGAGGTGGGCCTCCTGGCAAACGCGGTTTGCCATGTCCGGCTGGCTTTAGACCTCTGGCTTTAAATATATAGTTGTTTACAATATTCATCCCTTACTCTAACCTCTATCTAGCTTTATTGAACCACGGGAACCTTGGTGGTTCAACATCTACTGGCAGTTCTGAGCGCAAGCATCTATTTTGGATGACTAAAGTATTTCCCTCCGCTCTCACACCCAGCCTGGGATCTGCTGTTGGTACATGCTTTCAATCTGGTCCAAGTTGTCGTGCCAAGGAAGAGGACGATCTTGCGCGCAAGCTTTCAACGGCAAAGTCTGGTAGTAGCCCCTCATCAAGTCGGAGTTTCCACGGCGTCCACCATAAGCAGCCAACCAATTCCGCACTTCCCTTCGAGAAGACACCTGTTCCGATTCACATCTCATCATCCAATATTCTGCTTCGTCCAGCGGTGTCAGTCCCTGATGGTCAGCACAATTGGGATCTAAGCCATGCTGAAGCATCAGGCGCATCATCTCAATGCGACCCTCTCTTGCCGCATAATGCAGGGCGGTCTTCCCGCTTTTGTCCGCCCCCACGATGCGCCCTCGAAGTGCCTCGTCAAAGGCTTGGTGGTCGTTGTGAAAGACCGCCTTTCGGAGCTTGTGGTGAGGATCTGCGGGATAGTGCCTGGGACAACTGAGAGCTACTGCCTGACTTTGTGCAAAAGGAAGGACTGCAAGGTCATTTGGAGAGGTGCTAGTCCATTGGCCTGAAGCAACTGCGCCGCTGGAAGGCTGAAGTGTAGGGAGTGGCATAGTCCATGGTAAGGTCACTTCAGCAGTGCCTGCACTCATGACCTGATTGCGAAGAAGAAGCAAGGGTATCAATGTATCCCAGAAAATGTTGCACTGCTCTGAAATCAAGGCCTCTTAGCGGTTGGATGGTTTGGTTCGGGGTCAATTTTGCTACCTTTGTGCTTGCCTATGTCAGTAGCTCGTTCCAAAGCCATGAGGATCTACAATACATACACTATCAAAAAGAAAAAAAACTATCAGTGCACCAAAGCATAACATCAAACCTGCAAAAGAAGCGGTTGAGCTACCGGAATTCCAGGGACAGCTGCATGTTCACGCGCCGTATGCTTCTGAAGCAGTTGTGACTCAGAAGTGTACTTCTTGAATAAGCTGGAGAGGCCTGGAAGCGCTTCCCTGGATAAGTATAGAGTGCTAGTCTTGTTGATGTTCAGCAGCTGCAGATCTGAAAGCAAGCGACCTAAATCTTCCGGCAATGGAGACACCGCGCTGCGCCATTGCTCATCCGAAGGGTCTCTGACCAGCGCCTGGTAGGAGTGAAGGAAGACACGTTTGGCCCACCTCAAGGTCGCTGGGGAGGCCCCATACTTGACGTCACCCACAATGGGATGTCCCAGTTCTGAACAGTGAAATCTGATCTGGTGAGTCCGGCCCGTGATTATCCTCAAGTGCAGCAACGTGTAGGGATTCTTGTAGGAGTCTTCCAGCCAGGCCAGCGGTCTGTACAGCGTGACTGCGCGCTGTCGAAAGCAGCCATTGCGATCATCCCATTCCGGTCCATCCATCCCCCTGTGCCACGCATGGCTTTTTAACTCCACCGGATCATGGAAGAGGGCGATTTCCACCCGCCCTTGCAGGCCTTCCCGGCTCGATCCGTCTGACTCGTGGATCCAGTCAGACGATTTCATCTCCCGTCTCGTTGGGATGTGGACGCGTCCACAAACCAGGGCCAGGTAGTACTTCTCCATCCCGTGACTTTGAAGATTGTGATCACCGTAGAATTGATGCCGGATGTGCCAGTAGGCACCGGTGGTTTTGGCGACAATCATGACTCCGGAGGTCTCCCTGTCCAGTCTGTGGCAACAGCCAGCACAAATGCAAGCACAAGTCTTACAACTGCCGCAGTTACATGGCTCAGTGAGACCTTCCTGTTCTGCCTTTCTCCAAAAATCACGACAACCGACAGCTGTCTCGTGGTCGTACTCCAACGCGACGTACTCATGAATCTGAATGCTTGGGGTATCAAGATCGAGAAGCTTCATTGAGGTCTCTGCTCCAGCACGTGGTGGAAGGCGACTACTTCCATACTGGCACGTGAAATGGCAGGGCTTCTCCAAGTACAGGCACTCAGAAGTCTCACCTAGCTCTCTTGGGCGGAGGTGCCTTGTTTGCAGACTTTGTTGAAGTAGGAAGTCCTCATAGCTTTTTAAAGCTCTTGCAATCCTTGTCTCAAACTCAGGCCTAGCACATCGGCTGTAGTATTTCGTAGGATTAAAGAATTGAAAATCCACCACAGGTGCCAACATGTCGCATGCTTTCTCCCAGCATTCTTGGCACTTTCGGTCATCCTGTTGCTTGATGATTGCATAGATCTTGGCCACCAGTTCCCAAAGGCTCTTCGCCAGCTCCGGTCGAGACGCTGACGAAACAACCTCTTCGAACCTCGCACGGCTCTCCCGCACATGGGCTACGAGGTCTGGGAAGCAGTCCATTCTTGGCTCCTCAAATGGCACATCCAGTGGAGCTTCTGGTCCTGTGGAGCCAAGTAGAGAAACAGAACTATATATATATGGAAAAAGAACGGAACTATAGATATGTTTGGATTGTAAAGAGAAGGTGTCCAATTTGGAACCTCTCTTGCACAAAGCAGGAACTAACAAAAAGACAGATCCTCCATGGAATTGGTGAGCGTCTCCCATGGCGCAAAAGAAATGGCATTCCAGTCACGCCTTCTACATACACCAACATGGGGAGCATGATGAAACATGCACCAATCTAAGTCACCTAAGGCTTTTTTTGTTTATAGCTGTGTGTTTCATGTTTGTCTGAGTTGATGAGAGTGCCACTTTTCAGGAGGAGATTGATCTTTTAGTTTGAGGCGTGATCTTTAAGAGACTTGGCTGCTTTAACCACCCAATGGCCATCATGGACTTTGGGCCACGGTGACAAGGCTTGCAGGAAAATACCTGGGGGTCAAAGACAAAAGGACTTGGAGCATGTTGGAGCAAATACCATGCTAATGTCGATAGATACCAGTTTGGAATTCAGACCCTGCAAGCGATTTAGAGCTCCTGAGCTGCAGAATCAGCTACCTGTCTAACAGTTGCATCCTCGAGAATTAAGGGGAAGTCCTCAGCTCACCCAGGAACTATTTCCGGACCCCAGGGAGTTTCAACAGAACAGGGACAAAAGAAAGCTTCATGATCATCATGCTTTCCCTGTCAGCAACATCGCTGAAGAAATTCCTGCCGCACACTACTGGACTAGAAGAACATGGTGTTCGCGCTTCACTCCGTTCTGCAGCACGTACCAGGAGCTGCTGTAGTGAGCAAAGGGCATAGATTGGGCGCTATTCAATGTTAGATTCTTTCGGAACCTTGTAGTAAATGGCTAGACCAACATCAAGGGAAAAATGATGTCATATCAGAGCAAGATGCACTGTTTAAAGAAGCCATTCATCATCAGCCTAGGGCCAACATGGTCCAACATGGTCAAGCTGCTTCAACCTCCTCCAAACGTTTTGAGCCGAAGGGCCAAAGCCAGCCCAGCCATGCATCCTCTTCGCCCAACAGGGCAGCCAACTCCGCCTGATGGACACCAAAGCGAAAGAGTCGACACCAAAGCGAGCAACAAAGCTACTAGTAGCGTCCGTGCTGCTAGTAGTAGTGGCCTCCACCCTAGTAGCGATGGCCTCCAACCTACTAGCTTCTAGCTACTAGTAGCAAGGACGCCAAGATGTTTTTTCAGAACAAGGACACCTTGGGACACCTTGGTCAAGACCTTGGGTACCATGTGTTGGTCCATCCATGGGTCGGTGTGCACGGAGCTGGTGGATTGGAGCAGGCGTAGCTGCCTGGCTACGCCTGGCACTGCCGACCCGTGGTTCTTTCGGTTTCGATGGGACTCTCATGATTGCAATCTCCCGGTTAATCAAACTACACCAAGGTTGCTGCTGCCCTTACAGGCATCATGACCGTTTCTTGCACCAAATAGTGCTTCCACTACAAGCGACCGATAAACTCTCTGCCCATCATGAACCACCGCTTCTGGCAACCAAAGGACTCTTATCATTGTCAGTGCATATAATATAGCACTACCTGCATGTCATGTCTATATAAATAGATAATGTGCCATTGCATATCAGCAAGCTACATGTATTTGAGGCTGCAACCCACAAGTCCTGAGAGTCTAATGTCGCTGGCCTGAGGGGCGGAAAATCACGGCCCCGAGACAACGCTGTCGCTCACCTTTAATTTGCTTGCTCATTTGCATGTGAGCGCATGACTCAACCTCGCATGCCTGGCAAAACCTGAAAATTCATCCCTTCCTTTGGACTTGTGTGAATGCTGCTTTTGACTTGGTGAACGGGTGTTTTCAACGGGCACCACTAGGTTCCTTCGGTGCGTCCGTGCCTAGCTTCATGGAGCTGTGAAGTTCATGTGCCCTCCAGGCGTCCAAGCTGTCCCTCGAGGCGACGCCAAGCCCAGCGCAAAGCCATGGCCTCTTTCGTTCTTTTTTGACACAGCCAGCTACTTGAACCTCAGCCTAGAGCCTTGGGATGTTCCAACAATAACAGTAACTGGTGTTTAAAATCCAGAAAGGGAAGGAGAAAGGATTCACCAGTTCTTTATGAAGGGACATAACACAAAAGTACGCTCAAGTCTGTGCAAGCCACATTTTATTGGACCCTGATTTGTAAGTGGTACAGTACGGAATAGTAAAGTGTTCCCGAAATATTCATAACCCAGTTGAAATACTGCAACAACGAGTGTTGTTCTCCCAGAGCTATTCTAGTTCCTTTTATCTAAATTACTACTAAAACATATCAAAACTGTGACATTCATGTAGGAAGTCCACAGGTATCCTGGAATTGCACTGCATTAATTTGGAACTGAATTATGTGTTGTGCCCTTTTTGTGAACCGAAACGAGAACCGAATTCGTTGCGTTGCCATCAGCACCACACCGCTCAACCAGAATCACTAATTGCCTTCCTTTGGATCTCCTTCTGGTCCTTTTTCAAAACAATTCGACATGGCACAAATTCATGTTCATGCCCTGGGCCCTGTTCCTTTGAAAAAAGCCCGACCTAACAAAAAGAATTCCTTGTCATGTCCGTGTGGTTCATGCGCCCTCTCACCATAGAACCACCCCAGCAACAGGAGGGGTGGTAGTCTTAACATCATCAAGACCGACATTAAAGCAAATCAAATCAGTCTAATACATTCAAGGAAAGAGCGGATTATTCTGAAATGACATCTGGGAGGTAGACTTTTGCAGCAGGGCAGCACTTATATATACAGTATATAATATATAATCTCTACTGAAGGATTTTGTCAGATGAAAACATACGTTCAAGTTGAAACTCTCATTCTACTACCTCATACCAGTAAGAACTCTGAAGCCTTGCCACCAATTATCTAGCTCCTCGTCTCCTCGCCTGGCCATCGAGGGCCTGGCACACAAGGCATCTGCTTCCATTGACTCCCTTCCCTTGCCAAGAATCACACATGGTACTGTATGTCCTTTATTCCTGTATCAACAAAACCTTGGGCTAAATTTCCAAGCTGAAACTCCACAGACGAGCTGTACGATGTCCAGAGTCAAAGCCGCAACCTCAAGGGCCATTGCAAAGAGCGCAGTATCTGAAACCTAATTTGATTCGTGTGCTGCAAGCTCCAGAGCAGGGTTGGGTTTTCGCTGTTCCTCAAGTTATCATTTGAATAGGTCATGTAGTGCTACAATTGAAGGGCCTTCCAAGCCAACCCTGCTCAACACGTTACATTGGTCAAATTCCACCGGCAGAATCCTGCTAGCTTGCAGCTCATAGGCTGAGAGAAAAGCAAGCATTCTGAGGGTTGATCTGGCAAGAATCTCAAACGAGTGTCTCAGGAAATCATTGGTCTCTAATGACTGCGATGGTCTGAAATGAGCAAAACACCTTTAGATCAATCCTTTTCACGGTCATGTGGATCGACCATCAGCTAATCACGCACTCATGGCAGCCCACGTCGTGCTCTGAATCCTGCCACGGGACCACGGAGGACCCACATGTAGGACTGAAGCGGATATGTACCAAAACAAATCTCACTTACAACGAGATGCAACTCAGCGAGGTCAAAACAAGGAGTTACTTCATTGGGAGAAGGCAAAAAAAGACCAAGGAGGTCCCAGCGAGACGAGTACGAGGACGAGAGAGCTACATCTGGTAAGCACAGAGAAGGATATGACTCGGCCAAGGTCCATCAACATGAAGTCAATAGAACCGGCAAGGAAACTGACCAGGTGATTGAGGCTGCAGGCGGCAAGGGAACGCCGCAGCAAAGGCAAGAATGGGAACGGTAAATCATGGGAAACACACACAAATTGAGGTGCTTTTTACTCAATCAAGTTTCCAGCTAGGAAGTCAGCAGGCAGCTGAAGCTGCTCATGCTGCCTCTCTGGAGTTTGCCGAGTTTCAACACAAGCAGGGTTCAATCGCGAGCTCAAATCTCAAGTCACATGCTTGTAACCCAAGACAAAGACATGGGACTCTCTATCCTTAGAATAAACAGCCTCTGGCTTGCGAGGGAGTTTTGCAGAACCCCACATTTCAGAATCGATTGACTCGTTTTCTGTGCAGAGACTTGTGTTCTCAAACCAACTTCTTTTTGCAGAGAAGTAACGCTGCAATCGCTGTCGTCGCAGAACTTGCGATGGGCCTGGCAAAGGAGTCGCTGACCATCAATGTCAATGGCATCGGCTTCTATTCGGTTGAAGGAGGGCTCTTGTAAGAGGTTGCAATTTACAAGAACTCCAGACCAAAACTAAAACCTTTAAAAATGCATTCTTGTACAAAAGGAGTGGTGTTCTTGAAGGGATATAATATACGCACCTACGGCTTTGGACAAGATCTGATTCTGATTGAAAAAAGTAACAGGTTCTCAGTTCTCACAGCTATGGTGTCTCCTCTTGGGTCTTCTTCGGACAAGCACGTGGCATTTGCTGATCCTTCAACATCAAGGTGGATGCGGAAACTCCAGCCTGCTTTTTCCCAGTCTCATCCCAGGCATCGAACTTCGCAGAGATCTTAAGACAAAGTGCGAATTCACAAGTGTTGGCTCTGGAGTCTCACCACTAGGTCTGTACCTCTAAATGTCATCAAATGTCCACGTATCACGTCACGTTGCTTTTTTGGAAAAAAAGAACAAACGTCAAAGTGGATACTCCACTTCAACGTGCTTTTGCTTCAACACGTGGGACTGACCCCGTTGGTGGCCGTCGCTCATGCTCCGCATCGCATCGAAACGCGCTGGGAGGCGGACTGGTCCCAACATGGCCTTCATCAGCCAATCCCCGCGCGTGAACTGTGACCTGGTCCGCGCCTGACAGCTTGGCGTAGCTACTTGGTCGGTGTTCTGTTTCAGTGTTTGAAGGTGTCCAAGTTTTAAAAAATGCACAGCGCAACGTTCGTGATGATGATGATGATTATTATTTATGATGATGGTTGTGTTTTCAAGATTGGGTGGACGTACATCAAATAAAATGTGTGTGTACGCTACAAACGCGGCAATCTATACTTCTTGAAAAAGTCGATTGTAGGCGCTTGAGGTTCCTGGAATTTTCGCGGAGACCTATCACCCTCTATGCCTGTGAGGCGAACGGGGTTTTCAAGAACCTGCAGTGGTTTGCACATGTATGCGGAGGAAATATGCATGTACACTAATTATATACTGGTTGTTCACTTATTACTCAAGAAGCGGACTTATTAACATGTTGGAGACAAGGTCGCAAACAGCTTCCAATAGTCCAACCTTCTTGATGACCTCCAACATCTCGCTGTAATAGTCATCTGTCACATCAACCTCATTCCATGAAAGAAGATCTGACCAGGAACACCTGTGCTTTCGCGGACAACCTCACGTCTCGTGATCAGCTTGGTGCCAGGACATTGCGGAACCTCTCGTCGATGTCATTCAAGTAGCCAACGGCGTCCTCGTCTGCGGTGCAGGCCATAATCTGCACCTGATCAAAGCAATGAAACATGGTTGCCACGAACTCTGTAAATGTGTTGCGTGTATGTGAGCTGTCAAAAAATGTCAAAAACTGACTGCGTTCTAATCAGCTGGCGTTCATGCGGCGCGAATGGACGGGCACTCGCGGTGTCGTTCTCGTTGAACACACGGTCCTTTATCCTTCTACCCGCAACTCGTCACGTTGGGCATTCATAGCATAACGGCACCTTTCCTTGCAAACAACACAAAAAGACAACCCCAACCTGCGCGTCGGCATTAGGAAGCTGGTCATGTACGCGCTGATTCACGATATTCAATGAGCTTGAATCAGCAAGGCTCCCGCTGGCATCAGGTTCCTCTCCAGACTACTACGATACGAGGATCGACAAAGCGGGTCTACAGGAAGAAAGAGAGCCCTGCGGCTGGTAACCTTAAGCCGCACCTTTTCTAACATGGCACACCTTTTCTTGAGCCGTGGGCACGGGGTAAGTGCACATGTCGTACGAGCTCCACTTCTCGGACCCGGGTCCAGGTCCCGCAGCCCCACCTGGCCTTGAACTTGGTGTTCGTTGTCTTTTGTGTGACCAGGCCTCAATCACGCAGAAACAACTGAAGGAGATTTGGGGTGTTGACCTAGTGCGCGCTGGATCTTCTTGGGCTGCCATTTCAGGGATGGCCACCAATGACTTCAAACTGTCACCAAGTTTGGACGCTGAAGACCCAAAAAGAACAGTGCGCCAATGGTCTTTCTTTGCTCGACTCTTTTTTGGAACATGGATGGCACGAGCTGAATTCCAGTAGCAAGAAGCTAGTAGTAGTTCCTGGCATTACTACTAGGAACAAGAAGCTACTAGTAACTAGGGCATGGCTACGTACTAGTAGCAATTAAGTTTAGTTTAGTCTTTGGCCGAAGAGCGTTTGAGCTCCTTTTCAAACTTCCTGACGCCACCATTGGGTTCACCATCCTTAGCACCAAGGTTGGAGCAGTCAGAACAAGCGGATCGTTCCAGACAGGTTGAATCCTGAATATGCCTTGCTGAATCAAATTGAACAATCCAAAAGAATTGAAAGCTCGTCGGAGAAGTTTGAAATACACTTCTTGCAGGAGGGCTGCAGTGAAGATAAAGAGCAAAATAGGCCTTTCACCTCCGAGGCAAAACTGGACCAGAAGGTCAGCAGGGTTCATTGGGCCACCACTAATGGGACCCCCACAGCTTGCAAGCCTCTTGCTTCAAATAGCACTTCACGTGTATTCTGACCTATTTTACGCAAGTTAGTGCAATGGTGACATGCCTATTCGCGAAAGCCATTTATACCTGTTGTCTCGGTGAGCAACCACGGGGCAGCCGAAGAATGCGACGGCCCCGCACCATCGCAGTGTAACGCCACCGTGCTGAGGGACTCGGTTAAAGGGGTGGAGCCCCGCGGTGGAGCTGCGAAGCTGGCGACCAAGCGTGGGTCTGAGGCGCTCCTGGGACAAGGCCGAATGGAAGGACAGGACTGGAAGCTTCTTGCTACTAGTAGAAATGCTCTTGTTACTATATATAATATATTGAGTAGCTTCTTGTTCTTAGGTCCTAGTAGTAACGCCAGGAGCTACTAGTAGCTTCTTGTTACTAGTAGAAGTGCCCTTGT